GAAACGCACAAGTGACGGACAAATCTAAATTTACAAAGCAAGACTTTGTGCGTTTAATAATGAACAAGTGCTCGATTTAAATGGGCTATATTACAGTATTAACATCACAGAAATAAACAATTTTGTTTGTTGGCAGGTGATGTGCCCAAATGTGGGCACAGCGTGGTAATTTGTTATGGTTCGTTATTAGGACCTAAAGACTCAGTATGGACCAATAATAATATAAACCTGAAAATGAGTGCTTCCCGAAAGGCGTGACCACGTTCGTACTTAATACAATTTTTGCCCAACTCGTATGAATTAGAACAAAAAAATTAGAGTTATATTCTCTATAAACCTAATACTTTAGCTTGCGCCTTCTTTAAGCGTACATGTGAGCTAATAGCGGGACGTTCTATTCCCGTTACACCTGGTAACACTTTGTAGTCATTCCCATGCTCGACTTTGGAATGAGCGAATCGTCGTATTATAACGCTCCAGATTTGTTTCTCGAGCAAGCGACTCTCCCTCATCTCACTAGTGTTAATTGGAAAGCCCTTAACCGCTTCGCAGAGTTATCGGAAGAGACGTTCGTCGCGTGTCTGATGAGATCAGCGGTTCCTGATGGCAACGCCTCCCCATACACGAGTTTATGCTCGCGAGCTCACCAAATTCAATTAGCGAGGTTAAACTCCCTCGCGACCTTTACGTAATAAGGCCGTAAAGATGGAAACCATCTCCTACTCTGGAGAAGGTAAGGACCGATTGTCGCTAAATCGGTGGTTCCGAGAAGTTGATATCGCCATCGCCTCGAGACTTCATGAGTCGCCCCAGGCGAAGGTCAACTTTCTTCTTTCCCACCTCACCGGGAAGGCCAAGGAGTGGGCCCTTGGTAAGCTCGTTGTGGACGAGCACGCATTCCCCACCTTGGATACCATCCAGGACGATCTTCGTCTTGCTTTCGAGCCACCACAAGAGGAGAAACTGGTGCGATCAAGATTCCTGTCGATGCGACAGGGTAAATTGGCGATGCGCGACTACGTGCAGATGGCTAGGCATCTGGCGTCGTGTATTATCACGCACCCCATGGACATGTACACGCAGGTGAATGTCTTTGTGGATGGTATGCGTGAATGGTATACCCGCTTATTCCTGGAGCGCGCGGAGCCTGTCACATTGGACGAGGCAATTGCTATTGCCCTCCGTGAGGACTTTAGGGTCACAAAGGCCTATTCCAAACCCTCGGTCGTCACAGTTCCCCGGCCTTCTGGTCCGGAACCTATGGAGATCGACGTGTGGCTACATATAAGGGTGACACTCTCATTGGGCGTCATATGATCTCCTTTCGCTGTAGAAATCCAGGACATCGCGCAAATGAGTGCCGCGCGCCAGCACCGATATCGGCGCATGTAGTGGACGCTCATCAAGAGGACGCTGTACCGTCCGTACGTCCAAAACATGGTCAAGACCAGTAGGTGCAGGGCTCCCTACTGACTAGAAATGAAGGTCGGTCCCCAGGAGGCAGCCCAGCCTTCTAGAGTTCCTGCACTGTGCGCACCGTTACATGCCACCACGACGAGTGTTGATTCACGTCTGATTATTGTCGGTATGCATGTCGCAGTTGTCTGGCGACCTTTACAAGCGCTCTTGGACTCTGGACCGACGAACAATGTCTTTCGTGGATCTAGTTTATCTATGCTAACTCTCAGCATTCAGGTCCACGAGAGGACCTGGCCAAGTCGTCCTCAAGCTTGCTAACGGGAAACCTCACCGCTTATCGCGGCACGAAACTTCGGGAGGCCCAGCTCAAACGACAAGGGGAGCAGATGAAAGTCACGGTTTAAGCACTGCATTCACGTGCGGGTACCCCTATTCAACCGCATTGTAAACGTGCAGGAACCGTCACCTTCGTGCGAAAGCCACTGCTCACCCGCGTTGTAATAATGCGGGAGCGACTACTCGTTCACTTCGTTCTTTTTCGCTGTAAAGCTAGGAATTTCTGTCTCTTGTGTCCCGAAGAGCAGCAAAAGCAGTACAAAGAGGTACATCGCTCGCTCTGTGCACCACTTGCGTCGTGAAGTCACGATCCACGACTGTGACGTTCGGCCAGTCACTTGGAGATACCAAGAGATGGGTGTATACTTCACTGACATCGAACTTGCGTCGACGTCTCACTGATCTGGCTAACCAGTCGATCTGAAGCTTATAACGTGCCAACCATGGCATGACCAGGATGCAATCGAATGCATCATTCGTCGCGATCACCAATAAATCATCATTACTGAGAAAACCGTCGAACGAATTTGGCAACTAACAAGGAGAATTTGAAGTCGAGCAAGGGCTCGCCAACAAGTGTGACGTGGATGGGCAGGAGTCCCTACGTGTGAGTATGATGATCAAATGAGTTTTCAATCAATAATCACTGTGGTCGAGCAGAGATTTTGCATGAGCAATAAGTGGAATAGCAGGGGATCTTGCACGAGTACAACGTGGACGGACACGAGTCCACACGCGAGAACATGATAGTCGAATCGGAGTTCCCATCATCACCCACTGTGGCCGAACCGAGTTTCATACATGGTCAATTTGTGTTCGAGCAGGGTCTCCCACACGAGTTTACGGCGGCCGAACAGGTGCTCCCGCATTAAGCGTCGACAGTTAAGTATGGGCTGCTCCCGTCATGTGTTTGCGGAACAATAGATGAGTACATCCAGTGCCTATAGTGGACGAGATGGTTTATCACCTGGCTGCGGCTTGCCAGCTTCTTGTATCGGCTTGAATCAAGATAGGGGAACAATCATCGACTATTTAGCATTGGAATGTATCCACGCTATCGTGTACGAGGAAGGGATTCCACAACGGAGCCAATGTATTGAAGTCTTGAGTCCACTTCGCGACGCGTCTTTGATTACAAGCTTCTAGAACTCTCCTGGAAACATTTTCTGCTTGACCTTAAAGAAGGCACTGTAGTTCAGGTGTGTCTGATCACAAAAGATATGGTTATTGAACAAACGAGGCGCATACGACTCGTTTTCAAAGAGCTAAACAAACTTCAGCGCGTGAAAAAAGATTTGCGTCGCAATCTTGCTAAGCTCTGCTAGCGTATGGTACCCTGCTTACGAAATTCCTTGTGAGTATGCAGACGTGTCCCGAATAAGATATCGGCTATACTTCCTGCTGATCGTGGTTTTCTGGCACGAGATTGATCTCGTGCCAAGTACTGTGTGACACGGCAGTGGCCGTTGCCTCGAGATGGCTATTGACGCATTCTTCGAAGTCCACCGCAAGGCGGGCTATGTGCGTGAGATATTCGAGCCCACCCTTCTGCATGAAGAAGACTACTGGAGGCTATACGTTTGATTAGCTAGTGCCACAATTCCTGCGCGAATGCCTACCTCATAAAGGACATGGTGTTAAGATCAATGTCAGGAAGCGTAATCGATCTAGTTGATGGCATTATCTAATTCTGTTACGACCGAGCGACAAACCTTTCACAACAATGAAATCCCTAAGTCCCCACGTGTCATGCTATGGGAGTGTCTAGTGATTCAACAAAAACTGAAAAATGCACCGGCCGCTTTCAATCGCATGGTGTCTCAAGTGTTGAGACCACTTCAGTACTTCGCTCTATTTACTTTGAGAATATTTTTTCACATTCGCGATGAGGGAAACCTCAGCGACATTCAAGATCATCTCCAGCACTTATAACATGTGTAATAAGTCATGCGAGACAACAAGTTGTATGCGAATCTCAAGAAGTGTGTTTTACTGCACCTGCACCGGAGATTCCAGTGCTGATTTAATATGTGAGCAAATTGGGAGTTTGAGCTGGTACAGGGAAGGTGTCGTTACTCTGTTGTTGGACAACGACCAAGAACCCTACGGAGGGTTCTATACACCCTTTGTTGTCAATTTCAAAGAAAGACGTAACGCGGTCGTGTGTTCCCAAGCATTAAGCGAACTCCAATGCAGTGAAGAGGAGCGTGGAGTCAGCACCAACGCTGGTCCTGCCGAACGACTCCAAGACATTTACGTGGTATGCGATGCCATTGATTTCGCAATTGGTTGTGCCCTCATACAAATTGACGACGAGGGCCGTGAACGAGTCGTGAGCTATCAGTCGCGACAGATGAAGCCGGTAGAAAAGAACTATCTGGTTCGCGACAAGGAGCAATACGCCACGCGCTCATCAAGTTCCGCGTGCACCTGTTGGCGAATGCACGTTTGCTTTGTATACTGATATGCATCACTGCGCAAAGCGTTGAAAATCCCGCACCTGTCTCAACGGATGGCACGTTGCTTTTCCTTCTTTTCCGAGTACAATTTCTTCGTGCACTACAAGCCGGGCAAGACTAACATTCTTGCCGATGATCTGTCACGAAGTACCGACTACGATCCTCGAACCGCGTTGAGTCGTCAGGCAACTGATGTCGACGAGGATGACGGACGATGTGCAGGCCACTTTAATAGTGTAGTTTGAACCCCAAAAGCCACTTTTAGCCACTTATTAAGTTTTGCCAGGCGTCACCATTTTAATTGCGTAAAAAACTGCGTTTCGGACTCGTTCAAAGCATCATTTGCCCAAACTATGCCTCCGGCGCGTAAAACATTGAGGCGCATATACTCGCATATGGATTGAAAGTCTGCGAGCGCGATCCATAGACGGTGGAAGTCGTGTCGGTATCATGCCGCTTCTCTGTACCCTTTGGTCGAAAACAAAAAGCTGGCGCCAAACGCAAATTTACAAACAATATCCAATACTTCAAACGAACTTTTCGCACTGATGTCTACGACAGGCACATGAAGGGACAGCATGGTTACTACTGGAAGGATTATTGTGTCCTAACGAATGCGCATAAGGAGAAATTCTTTGAAGAGAACGCTCCTGTGGTGCATCAAAACACCATACGGTCCCACTTTGGCCAATCCCAAGCACATGTGCATTAATTTGTGAACAAGGAAATCGCCGATATTATCCTGAGCAAAAGGTTATTCCATCCTGATGACACGAACGAGAAAAAATGAGGGAGCGAGCTCTAGCCATTTTCGAGGACGTTGTTGGACCCGATGAGAACGCACATGACTCTGATCTCCAGACGGATCGCTATCGAATCGTCATCAAGAACCCCATACAGTTTCACATGATCGTCGAATTCGTCGGAGTAGGGGCATCAATTCGTATGGCTTTTCGGTTTCTGCATATGACGAAGAAGCAAACGGATTTGGCGTCGCTTGGGAGTGCAAGTAAAGGCAAGGTCACAAGTTATATTCGATATGTTTGCGCCTCGAATCTGCAGAAATTTCTGAAAATCCTGGCCTCATGCTGGACATTCTCGCGTGCCATACACATGTCCACTCACATGTCTAAGTCGTACATGGACATCCGCATTCGGCTATTCTTCCGCTCTGAGAATCTTAACTTCGATTTCCTAGCCATCCCAATTCAGCAGTTACACTGTAGACAAGTTTTTTATGCATGCTGTGGATATTAGACGTCATATACCCACAAGACCCAACGATAATTCATGGGAACGTGTGTCGCACGGTAAACGACACAAACCACATTTCCTAATACACGAGATCTTATTGCTTCCATCTTGACAGAAGGTGAACGAAAGATGACCGGCAGAAATCAAGGCGTCGCCACTCGCTTTAATCAAGTCGAAGGAGCCTGATTTCTTGTGTCTTTGTTGTGATCTGCACCAACTGGATATATTTCTACAGCGGTTTTTCAAGAGTTTATCGTATAAGCAGTACTATTCTGCAATCAACAGCCTCATCTCGTGTTTACGAAGGCAGCATAACCTCATCAATGAAATGAAAACAAAGGCCTATAAAGTTGCTAGCACTCGTTGATAGTCAATGTCCAAGGTACAGCATCCTTTGTATTCGTGTTGGCTATCAATGTTCTTAATTCTGATGTAGGTTGATGGTTAGTTCCGGAAACATCGAGTGGCAGTACGAGCGTACCTTATTTTAGAAAAATTCTCCTTGCGCACCACCACTCACCTGGTGAGTGGTCATCATCTTTGTCGCAAAGATTTCGAGCGAGGCGACCATCACGTTTTAAAGTCTTGAAGGCTTGACGACATTCGTTTCTCAGCAACGCGAAGACATCTTGAGATTGAAGGAATCTTACATGTCTTGGGTCAGCGCTTCCGAAATTGTGGGCCAAGAAGATGTCGACGCTGACGACCTTGAATAGTTTGTCCTGTCGCAGGATGAGAAGTATTCCATTGAGCTAAGAACTTTCAAAGATGTATTGATTGATTTGGGCGACTTTGTTCAAGCGGTTATAAAAAATCGGGGCCGCTGAAATTGCAGCCGTCGCCATTTTTGCGTCGAAATGATTTCTGGCCTAGATAACATTGCGTCAGAACGAGCCTTAAAAACGATGCTGCTGAGACCATGCCTCCTGTTCAGTCCCATCAGCTTGTGAGACTGCGCAGTCGAGAGTTCACCGACATTATCCGCAAGCAGAAGGATCGATTGTCCTCCCGCTGGACCCTGCAGAATATAGCGCTTATTGAGCAGAATTTTCGATATTTTCAAATTGATAATAAGCGCAAGCTGTCGTTAAAGAAGGTCCTGGATCAGTGCGACGTCAAGACTACGTTTGTAGTTGTCAGCAAATACGTGCAAGAGTGCTTCAAGCACCTGAAGGAGTTCTATGGGGGTCTGGCCACTTTATTTCCTGGCACGTCTACTGTAGAGAGTGTTTTTTTCATTGTCAAATGAGATAAGGATGATTGCCGAATTAGACTAATGTGGTGAAGTGCTTTCTTAGATTGTGAAGAACCCAGGGGCCAGTTGGATTGAAGGGGCAAGGGGCCGTGGACCAGGAGAAGGTACCACGCACCAGAGATATGGGACCGGAGATAAAGGTAACCTCGGAGTAGAGCGACCGTTGGCTGAGAATATGAAAGACAAACAAAGGAGAGGTCATTACCAAGGTACTGTTTAACCAGTACCGAAGGGAGTCGACCATGGCCTCCTTTGGAAGGCCCGGTACCTCATTGGGCGACCCGGTCCCTCGTCGGTAGACCTGGATCCCTCATTGGTCGACCCGGTCCCTCTTCGGTAGACTTAGTCCCTCATTGGTCGGCCCGGTCCCATGTTGGTCGGCCCGGTTCCTCGTTGGTAGACCTGGGTCACTCGTCGGTCGACCTCTACCCCTCGGGGTTCAGCCACTCCTGATTAATTAACACAAGAATCAGACCAGTTGACGCAAGAAATCAGAGCTTCAGGCAAGGATAGAGTAAAAGAGTCAAAAGGATAGGACTATATTAAATACTACTCAATTTGCGATCTACTTGGCAAATCTTCGTCGTGCTGTTAAGGCACTCGAGTCTAGCCAAACGCTTGTTCCGGGGAAGGGATATATTTGCACCCCCCCCCCCCTTGAAGACAGGCGTGTGGTCAGACACAAGTGCGAGCTATACCCCACGTGGCACGACTCCGTCACCCAAGAAGAACTTGCTCTAAATTACTCACTTCTACGGGAAGGGATATATTTTGGCCCCCCGTCGAAGACAGTTGTGTAGCGAAGTTCAAGTGCGAATAGAGCTCCAGGATATATTTGGCCTGTGAGCTCGTTCGAGTAGCAACACCCCCCAAGACCCGCTATCGGAAGCGGTCTCCTTCACCTCACGGTCCGGGAGCAAAGTAAAGGTCAGGTGGTTAATACCCCTGAAACAAGAAGGAAAAGGCCAGGGACGACAAGCGACCTGAAGAATTTGGCTCTAAGTCCACTCTCGACAAGGTCGATCGAGTGGCCACGTACCGACCCACCGAGTGAAGCATATCCACTCGAGGCCCCCCAGGTCTACCTCTCTCAAAGAAGACGTCTACATCTTCATCGAGTCTTCCGAAGAGTGCAACCCGCCAGCCGACGGGTACACAAGGTGAGAAAAGGTCCATACGCGACATCGGGGTACCCCCTCCGACAGTCGGCAGTCCGGCACAGTGAGTGTTTTGGGGTCTCATCATACAATTTTGAGAACCCACTCCACCACAATAACATACTTCTTTCTGGAAGGCATACTACGGGCCAAACAGTTTAGAATAATGTCGTCAATATCGCTCTGAGGCTATTTTAGCAAAATAAACTAATTTTTTGTCCATTTTAGTTACATTCATGCCGGCACCACAATTAACCACTATTAAGACTTCATCATGCGCCACCATTAGCTGAATACTGGTAATAGTGGAGATTATCACAATTAAAGTGCCCTGCCATTGTGCGATGTGTGTATCGCTGAAATAAACTCGGATCACCCCCAATCTGTGCTTATTCGACGAGATCATCGCAGCTTACAAGATTATTCAGATTATGCGGACAATATCGCTTATCTGAGTGTTCCCAGTGATGTTGCACTGAGATTTCAATCACGAACCAAGCGTGATCATATTCAGCTATATAATTTGGACGGAGACTTGCTTGTGTATAGAAAAAATCAGTGCGATGCTCCTCGCACGGTGATCGCCAATGACATGGCTTTGCGTGCAAGGATCATTCACTAGGAACACCAACGATGCCCCAGCTGGTGGTCACTCAGGCTGCAAAAGGCCTTTCGCAGCTGTGTATCGTGACTTTTTGACCCCACACCTGGACAAGTGGGTGCGCAACTGGATTCGAACACGCAAAATTTACAAACAAGTAAAGTCATTTATATCGTCACAGGCACCCCTGCGACCGCTGCCGATTGCAGCTAAGACTTGGTGTTCAGTTTTGACAGACTTCCTTTTCGGGCTCGCGCCCGATAGTCAAGATCCTACGGGTATCCTGAGTTTTGTCGACAAATTTAGCAAGATGACACATCTAGTGCCTGTTCACGCTACGATCACGGCAATAGAAACCGTAATACACTTCGTTGACGCTGAGTTTCGCCATTAAGGATTGCCGGGTATAATGTTTTGGACCGTCATCCTCGATTCACATCTGCATTTTGGACGTCACTGTTCGAGCTTTATAGGAAGCTATGCTACTTCTTTACGGGTTAGACTTAATCTTACCATTTGCTGAGTTTACACTCAGTAATTCTGTACACGCGTCAATAGGTTTACGCCATTTTTGTGCATTCGGCTTGTCACCCTCAAGTTCCTATATATTCTTGCCTTGGATCGACTCAGATCACCTAGTGAATCCACTCTGGGGGGGGAAGGTGAAAAACAACGATCGAGTGCAGCTCACGGTATTTTGAGCGTAATGTAGTCACCCGATCCAAGGCAAAATCTGACCGTTTGACGCCACGTCGCGTGGCGTTCCCGCTAGCTCGATGAATTGCACAAACTCTGACGGAATCGTCTTCGGAAATGTTTTCCCATTCTTCCAATTGCGCGCCGATTGAGTCGGCGCGTGCAAGTAATGATCGAAAATTATACTGCAACCTTAAGCCATCATCGGCTTTTGCGTGATGCAATTCAGTTTAAAGTGGACAAACAGAAAGAGAATGCTGACAAAAATGACAGAAAACATGAGCAAATTTAAGAAAGGTGGTTTTGTATCATGTAATATTATTTACAGAAGACCTAAGGAATTCAGCGGATACTAACCTAGTCGCGTGTAAGAGGGAAATCTTTACGTAAGGAATGTCCTTCAAAATTATAATCAATTAAAACTCGCGACACGCTTCATCAGTCCATTCAAGGTTCTTAAGGCGATCGGTGACGCCTACATGCTGGACATTCTCTTACCTTTGCGACTTTACCAGACGTTCTACGTCGGGAGACTAAAGAACTATCGCCCGGCTACGCTTCATGGGTTGGTTCCGATGTCTGATTCAGGGGCTCGTAGTTTGACTGCCTTTCCACATCAGACGCGGCTGCGTTTTTGTCTGTTTATGACCGAGAGCCTGAAATTACAGGTTTTTCATCCGCTCGAGCATTCGTTATTCGACTGCCGGACCTCGCTCGCAGTCCTCTCCGCCTGTGCATATCGCTCGGGAGTAGCTTCATCTTCCGACTGAGCGTCGGCAGCCTTATTTACAGCCCCATCAACATCGTACTGGGAAACCAGGACGCTAGCGTTACCTTCGCGAGGGCCCACCACCGCTTGTGGATGCAAAGGTTCAGATGCGCTGGATCGTAGATCGTATTGCGGGTCACGAATACCCTCTCCGTGATGTAAAATCGTAGGCTCATGCGATGCACGCGATTTCACCCGCGCGCAAGTACCATATATGCTGGGCTTGGATTTTCACCCAAGTAAAATACGTAGAAGCCGCGTTGCTCGCTTTTCGGGAGGTTCCAGACGTTGTTCAAGCATATGAGTCCATGGAGATGGGTTACCCCGATGCGACCGCAGACGTATATGTTCTTGTGGTGAAAGAGAACGGGTACTGTGTCGTGATCGCGGCGTCAAGAACGAGAATGAGGACGATGACGAGAACGAGAACGTCGAATCACCATAATCACTAGAACGAGACCTCGACGAGATCCGCGCAACACGATGAGCAGGCAAAGTTGTCGCCGTTCTGCGTTGAGTATAAAGCGGCGATTGACTCCATTACCGAGAGTGGTGACACTAGCGAGGCGCACCACGAACAACTACAGTTGTACGCTCGTAAAGACTCCGCTCGTACTTCTCGATCCAGGCTCGTTCGCTTTTGCTGAGTAAACACTTAGCGATGTGTCGTTGCTATGCGTCGCGAGATGGACGTGGCATCATGTCGCAAAGCGACATCCTCCGTAAGAGTGGACATAGCAGAGTCGTTCCTCGTCCAAGCGTTCTCACACAATTTTTCGCGTGACGCACCGATTGAGTGATCGGCGCAAAGATCTTCTCGATTGTAAAGCTTCTGTGAGACGCTCCTTCCATACTCGGCATCCGGCTTCAACGCTAAATGAATGTGCACCAGAAACTTTGCAAAGCGTTGTATGCAATGCCTTCGAGACTATTTTCTCGCAATCCGCGGAAACGCAAAAAGTAGTCCTAAGTGAGTTCGAAGCGCGAGCTTCGGATAAGTCGTAACAATATCTAAGATACGAGTTGCTGGTCCACCACACGCGAATGATTGCACTCCCAATGAAAGTGCTTTGGGGTTAAAAGTCGTGTGCTCAGTCATCTTTTGGTTCCGTTGTGATCGTTGGGATCTGGCAGTTGAGCACTCACGGTTGCTAAGTGATGTGTTGAAAAGGGAGTGATGTAAGGGGCAACATTACAATTTTAACACAAACAGAAATGAACAATTTTGTTTGTAGGCAGGTATTGCGCCCGAATGTGGGCACAGCGTGGCAATTTGTTATCGGTTCATTATTAGGACCTAAAGACTCAGTTGGATCAATAATAATATAAACCTGAAAATGAGTGGTTCCCGAAAGGCGTGAATACGGTCGTACTTAATACCAATTTTTTGCCCAATTCGTACGAATTAAAACAAAAAAATTAGAGTTATATTCTCTATAGACCTAATACTTTAGCTTGCGCCTTCCTTAATCGTACGTGGAAGCTAGTAACGAGACGTTCGAGCCCAGTTACACTCGTTGTAAAAATTTTGGTGCCTTTGGCGCGATGTTAGATATGACAATTGCAAAGGCTATATTGGCTATTGCGTAAGTTTGGCGTACACCAACCAGGCGTTTGGACGCGCCGAGTGCTTACGTGCACGTTAATATAGAAAATGAAGTACATGTCCATAGCTTGATGGAATGATTGTACGTCGGAAAAGCTATTCGAGTATGGCGTAACACCGCTAAGAATCTTTCACTTTGTTTGGAGAGAAGCCTGTGCTGTAATGAAACAACCTGTTACATAAGTAATTATAGGGATAATACATAATTACATAAGTAGGCATAGGGAAGTATCCGATTAGCGGATACTGCGCGTCATTTTTATTATTGGTTTATTATTGGGGGGCCACACCCAATAATTAGCCAATAATAAATTGACTTCCATATTGAGTAGTTTCCATGAGCTAGGGAACATATTCGCATTTAACGCAAATTAAAACTAAAACAAAACTAAAACAGAGTTATGTTTACGAGTTAATTAAGAGCGCTTCCTCAACGCCCTTTAGTGTAAGACGGTAACGGGTCCGTATCCCGGCACAATATACATAGGCAGCAATAAATTGCTGCCCACGTTGGTCACTGGCTGTAAAGGTAGATTTGCTGTTGATAGTAAAACTACATTGCCTTTGATATATGAATTAAGCATTTGCCCTTCCATTTTTGTGAGCGTTCAGTTCTGCTAATCCACCGTTTCGGCAATGAATTTTGGCGCGAAACGGATTACCGCTTCTCGAGTCAGTAGGATGTCTTCTGCTAACTCGCTGCTTTGGCTGCAGTTCATAGTGAATGCACTGTAGAGATATCTGTTATTTCTTCAGCGAGAATACTGATGTTCACTTTGGCGATATCCTGAACGATACCGTCACCAGTAAGAGCGTCATCGCTCTTACTATTTTTTTCCTCTACGAAGACGATAGGATTAGTATCAATTGGCTTCGCGTCGACTTATCGTTGACGCGAGACGAGCGAGATCCAGATTGGTTCTTGCTCCAACGTGTTCCCCTAAAAACTAGAGTCACTTTTAACTAGACCCATGGATGGCACAGACTATTTACGTAGAGTGGCGCATGCGTCGTGGATATATGGTCCGAGTTGTTGATAGCGAACTCGACTACTGCTAAGAATTCGCTCAACTTGTAAACGGGTGGACGTGCCCCCGAAGAATCTCTTCGAGGGACAAGGTCGGCGAATTACGTCTGACCATCGGTTCCTTGATGTCAGAACTCGACATCGTGAGCCGTATTTTGAGTGAACTATAAACGGATCTTTAAACGCCGCCGTGATCCTAGGTTCCCTGTCAGTGCTATCGACGCAGCATCATAACAACAAGGTTATTCCGGAAGGAGTGCTGTGATCTCAATCAGTTGTGGAGAAGTGCCAGAGAAATCGTGGTCCTTCACAATTATTATAATAACTGCCGTGAGAGGTTCAGGTCACTCCCTCGAGGGAAAGAAAAGGTCCAGAACCTCGAAGGTTTAGTGCATCAAGGATCCAGGGCCCCGAGATCATGGAAGGTACAAGGTTTCCTTCGGTGCAGATCCGGTACAAATCCAGGGCCTTTGAAGGTCTAGTGCCCCGAGCATTCAGGGCCTCGAAGGTCATAGAAGGTACAAGGAATACCTACAGTGCAGAACCGGTACAGGTCCCTAGTCCCTAAAGAGCCAGCTGTTCGTTCAGGAGCTCACACGTGGCATCATTCAGAGCGAAGGGTTGGGGTAAGGCACGAAAAGCATACAAAGGCTAAGATAAATAAACACACTCGAATTTGCTTTACACGTGGCAGCTCTAAGCGCCCCCTTTTAGCTTTGACGTCACCTCACCTGTTCTGGGCGGAACACCCTTTAACCCACCCCCCCCGACGTCAGGTGCGATGACGGCACAAGCAACGTAAGTTGAACCTCAGGATAGTTAGCCTGAGGTGTCAAGACTCGAGCTCGAACTTGATTCGATCTACCCACCTGTTTCGGGGAAGGGATATTGTTTCCCCCTCCAGTTGAGACAGTCGTGTGGCAATATTCACCTGCAAACAGAACCCCAGGAAATTCTTTGGCCTGTGGGTTTGTCTCGAGTAGCACCACCTCAAGACCCGCTACAGGAAGCGGGATCCCTACGGGGAAGAAGACGGAAGGTCCAAGCACCAAGAAACCGATAGACACCGAAGGGGTACATGCTACCAGGTGCATTGCTCTTGACTCAGTCGATCGAGCACAAGAAATCCGGCCTCGAGTGAAGCATATCCACTCGAGGACCACCAAGCCCCGGTCTATACAAAGACCAAGTCTCTAAGTCTTCTGCGTCAAGTGAGGAGCAAGAACAGCCAAGCCGACGGGTACACAAGGTGAGGTGCAACGTTAACGCGACACGGTATCGGGTACCTTCTCCGTAAGTCGGCAGCTCGGCGCTGTGTGTGTTTGTGGTTTTCTTACGTCGTGTGAAAATCCACTCTACAACACAGTCTCTTTATCACATGGCTGTGTTGATTTCCACAAGTACATTGACAAAGAGTTGTCAATATACTAAGCAACTTGATCAATCAAGTCACGAAGTGAAATTTATTTGAGCAAAATGATCACTCTATTTCTGTTTCTTACGGTTTAGAAGATATTAGCACTGCAGCCGTCCGATGAATGCTTGCTCGTATTGAAACCATAGACATGACTACATTCTTGAGCCAGCTTCAGCAAAAAGAATGCGAACACTACACAACGATCACTTGGAAATTAATTTTTGTCATGCCATACGTATAGTATACGTCGAGGTATATATATTTCTAGCTCCTATTATATAATATAAAATTTCTATTTCTCCTTTGTGCAGCAAGCTCAATAATTAATCAAGCTGTATTAATAATTTATTATTGACCTCGCTGGCCTAAACTTACGGAGGAGTGCCTGTTATAAAATCTACAACTTTGTTTTGTGTCCATGAGATACGGCATTGCCAAGATGAAAATAGCACTTTTATTTCTCATGCTGAACTGGTAAATTGACTCTAAAAAGCTGCGGGTACAAGCGAGTCAACATCTATACAAGTGAATTTTTCTACACGACGTTACCGGCAACAATTGACGCAAACATAAGCGCACCAAACCATTTGTTCGAAGCAAAACGCACTTGCAAATTGATCGGATCGTCAAGCTTGGCAGTGTTTACCTGCCAGGCTAATTGCGTCGCTCCGCCAGTAAGACCCACGAAGAACGGCCAGTCTAGGCCGGCCATGTACCCTGCAGACCCAAAGCCAGCAATGGCTGCAGCTGAAAAGAAATTTAGCAACGGCTTCGTTTTGTCGCCGAAGAGCAACGCAGTAGAGTGTACACCGATCTTGATATCGTCCTTCTTGTCCTGGTGGGCATATAAAGTATCGTACACCATTGTCCAGGCCACACCACCCGCATACAGCGGCAGCACCACTGGCCATTCACACGACCCATGCACTGCAGCCCAACCCAGCAAAGCACCGTAGTTGAAAGTCAATCCTAAAAAAGCTTGTGGCCAATAGGTAAATCGTTTCATCGTTGGGTACACGCCAACAAGTACGAGGGAGGATGCACCCATGGCAACACTAAACCAATTGAGCTGCAATAACACAGATAATCCCGCCGACAATTGCGCCGCAAGGAAAGCCCATGCCTGTGGATACGTGAGCTTACCAGTAACCAATGGACGCTTGTTAGTGCGTTCTACCATTCTGTCAAAGTTCTTGTCCCACATGTCGTTAATAGTACAACCTGCACTCCGCATGATGAACGCACCCGTACCAAACAGCACTAGCAGCTTCAGATCAGGCAAGCAACCACTTGGAGCAGCCATGGATATGCTCCAAAAGCATGGCCACAGCAGCATAAACGTCCCTGCCGGTCGGTTGATGCGGGATATCTGAATATACGGCAGCATCCACTCGGGGCTATGACGCTCTGCCCACGTATCTTTTTCAATACTGAATGCATCGTTCTTGACCTGTACAATGTCCAGTTGTTTTGTTGCATTGACTAGCTTAGTGGTAGGCAATTGGGGGGACGAGGATGAACTAAAGCATGAGGTCGGAATTCCAGAGAACTGGGTGGACACGGATGGTACAGGACATCCGGGTGACGAATGAAGACAAATTAACGAAGACTTAGCAAAGCGTGGGATGATTGATTGCATTGCATATGAAAATGAGACATCATGAGCCCGGACGACGAAGCGGGGACGACGTGTAACGCACGTATGCAGGAGCCGGGCAACCATGCTGTTCGACGGCCTGTTCGCACAATTCGATTATAACGTTAGGAATCGAAACGGATGGATTGGATTGGCTTACAAACGGGTGAAACTTGAATATTGATGATGTTGAAGTGACTTGAATGGACCCCGGGTCATGTGGGACAGGAACTTGACCTCGTTGAGAGCTATGGTCTTAGAATTCTCTTACTCCCTTTCTATTGTTTTCTTAGTGTCGAATTAGCAGAAGTAAAGCGTGCGAAGGTTCTAGCTCCGTCACGTCTTGCATCTGGGAACAGCCTCTAGCGCCGTTGCTGCGATGGAGTGGAACAACCCTCGTTACCAAGCCTTTTGTCGTCAATTTCAGAATGAACAGGAACCCGACGATCATGAAGATAAAGAACATGAGCAAGAAATGTGGCAGTCGTCGCTACAGAATTCACTTGCTGGTGATAGTGACGTTGCGCCACCTCGACGGACGTCGCCACCGAAGATGGAATTTTTCAACACACTTGGCAACGAAAGGGGTGGTGGCATGACGTTCCAGTCTCTAAACTCGCTGAGTATGCCACAACTGCAAGAGGCAACGGAATTTCCGTCCTTCTATTCGTCTCAAGGTGCTTACAATGCTGCCACGCTGCCACAAAGTTTGCCATCGCTACCATCACCTCCGTCTAATCAGCAAGAACTACAACCACCACCTCAGCAGCAGTTTGATGGACAACTAGCGATGCAGTTCAATTCGCAGTACTCGGACTTCCCAGAAGATTCGGCTAGTTACTATCTACGCCCAGTTTCTTTTCCGCCAGCACCAATGCCCCAGGCAGCTTCGAGGACATCGATGGACTACTTTCCTGACGGTAAATATGACGTCCAGTTGAGGCGTAAGAGAGGTAGAGATACTTTGTACATGCAAATCTAATTCATATATGTTCATGCTTCGCTGTAGGCATTCCAGCTCTTCATAGTGCACACACTCCAATGCCGACACTACCAACAAGTTTTGGGTCGCTGGAGCAACAGCAACAGCAACAGTTGCTGCTACCACCCGGATTCGAAGATCAGCACGGGAATTTTGACAGCAACATGACGCACGATATGTCGTCGAGTATGTTTCGCTCGTCAATGGCTCCTACTGAGTCGTACAACTCGTCACGGACAATGCGAACACTTTCGGTCGACAGTTATGCAACTCAATCTAGTGTTGGCAGCACACCTCCCGATTATTCACCCGTGGTTGCCCCGCTTGGAAGACCTAAGCGAGAAGGTGGGCTAAGAGAACCTTTTACGGAAATGGCTACCACTCACGAGCCCAAGTTTTCACCAGACAAACGCAAGTTGTGCTGTGTAGAAGGCTGCACGAGTCAAGCTCGAGCCTTTAATCGGTGTAAACGGCACGGCGGATCGAAGCGCTGTTCAAGTCCAGGATGCACGAAGAGCGTTCAGAGTCGCGGGCTGTGTATCCGTCACGGCGGTGGATCACGATGCCAGGAGAGTGGCTGTACTCGTGCATCACAGAGTCATGGTCGATGCAAATTGCACGGTGGTGGGCGTCCATGCATCGTAGAAGGATGCGAGAAGAAGGCTCATTTGAAGCGTTTGTGCCGCAAACATGGTGGTGGCACGAAATGCTGTGTGGCTGGCTGCAAAAAGTGGTCGCAACGTCAAGGTATGTGCATGACGCACTCGAAGGTGGTTGGATCGCAACCGAGTGATATAGATGGCGACTCAATTCTATTTGATCAAAAGCCATCCCCATCATCAAGTCCGGACTTGTCTCCGCCACCTTCATTGGAAATGTTTACTGAGGAGGTGTAACGGAGCCTTGTAATCTTTTGCTTGAAGTTGCATACTTTTTGAATTTAAGTAGTCACAAAATGACATTGCCGGGTTTGCCGGGTAAAACTGCCAAAAACCGCGGGTAAAACGTGCCTGTTTAAAATGTACTTGCAAACTTGCTTACCGAGGATAGATAGATGTATACTAAAGCGAGGTCATTGCGAGTACGTCTTTTTTCCCTCTCTAAATTCAAAAACTCGCCTATTGCGTTAGCGGCAACAGGCAAAAAGTGAACGGAAACCGGTATCAGCTCCTAACTTCCCGGAACTTCTGACACTTAGAAGACCTCACAATAATTGCAAATACCTTGTGTCGCGTGATAACAGCAAGAGTATGCTAGACACTACTAGCTATGGCTCAAAGCCCCTACAACACGACGCAGAGACATTCCAAGTCGCAAAAGAGCTCATCTTGCTAAGCCATCGACCGTCATCGGACAACGTGATGAACATTACAATGAATAATAACTCGCCCTCCACTATTTCTGACTTTTTTAAACATGTACGGACAGTAGAAAAACTATTGACGTTTTGCTGTCGCTAATGAAATTTCGAGTGGGTGTTTTATTCGATTAGAGAGCGAAACGAGTGTCGAAGAATGTAATTGTAAAGAGAGCACTTTTGCAAAGGTGCTGAATGGATGCACCATATTCGAAGAGCGTGGAAGTATTTGACAAACTAATGGGAAATTTGATCGTGTTTTTTGTAGAACTCATCGCACATCGAAGGCACTTGTGAATCAGGTACTTTTAGTATTGTAATGAATGTTGCATTCTGCGTGAAAGAATGAGACTGTAAGTTCTTAGATATTGAATGCTGATGTTGCAAAGGTCAAGACAAAGACACGGATGTCTCGTAAATCTGCACATAAGAGCAAACTTCAAGACGTTATCAAGAAAGAGGTGGTAAAAGTACCCGTTGAATCACAAGTAGCGTCCACTGAATCACAAGTACATCCATGTCTTCTTGATGTCAAGAGTGTTCAACGAGGTCGTCTAAACTTTTGTGTTTGGTTCGGACAGGACATCATCAATTCGCGTTGCGATATTTCACACTTGGAGCTTCTGAAGGAACATCGCGTTCGCTTTCGTCGCGTCCGTCGACGGTGAGTAAATAATGTTTTTGTCACGGTAAATGCATCGATCTGCGTCAACGAATTTTGTTTAATCCAATGCTTTTTGCGGGTATGACTGCAGATGGAATGTCGAGCAGCGCACCAAGAAACAACAGTATCTTGCCCGCTTCCACGTCCAAGGCATCCCTCTTATGCACATCTTGAGACACTTAGTCACTGACAGTAGCGTACCAAGCACTCCGAGTATCGCCGTTTCATTGGTGTGAACTGCTTGTCACGGAGTATTCTACTACGACACTGATTATTAACTACATACCAAACTCAGGTAAACGTTCTCCTTCTAAACCATCGTATTTTTGTTATAGATATATTGGTGTGAATAAAAACGTCGGTATTTTCGTATTAAAAACTGCGTTAAAGTGACCCTAAACTTCAGTTTCGAACCTGATTACAGTGCGCTGTACCAACAATGCGCTTTTTTGCCTAAAGTGACAATGTCAGAAAAAGTACTTTTGCAGTTGACGGTGAAGTACGCACTTCTATACTGTAATAACAAGGCAACTCGGTTTGTGCCGTTCCATAGATATAAAGATCAGGGATTTCTCGATACAGACAGCGAGGAGGAATGACAGACGTACGACGTTGTACATTGCTTAGAATAAACGATAGTGATAACACTTATCTTTGAATATATGCGTTTACATTTGAAAAGATACCACGAGAAGACTTTCATCGTCCTCCATCGTTAAATACTTTTTGTACCAAGGCCTTTCCAATCTGATCGAGGCAATGCGTTGCTGATACAGATTTTGCATGTCTACTTTCGTACCGTCTCTGTCGTACATACAAAGTCCTATACAAATTTGTAAGCGGGTGTTTTTTTCTCAAAACAGCTCTTCTTCCCCACAATTTAAAACCCAGAGCACAAAAACGAAGAAAGGAAACACCTAAAGCGACAGGGGCTCGGCAACACGACAGCGCAGAACCAACAGAAGGACACGACGGCGCTCGAGATTGCAGCCAACGAGGCGCTGTTTGGCCAGACAGGAAGTGGCGCCGACGACCCGTGGGTAATGGGACTATCCTCGACTAGTGGCACCCCGTGGGGTGCATCCGATCCAGCAGCTTCCAACTGGTTTAGCGTCACAGGAGATTTCACTCGTGGTGGTGGTAACCACAACCCGCGCAGTGGCAAATGTCGTGGCAATATAGTGCAAATGCCACAAGCGACAGGGGCATCGCATCATTTGCCAAATCGAATGAAAAATTCTTTAACGAATGGAAATAACGCCATATCCACGCCTTATTTTCACCATTTTTTGGACCGCAACAGCAATAATAATGCGACAAATTCGTTGCTTTTGAACCCAGAGATTATGTCATCATCAACCTATACAACAACCAAGAGACCACGTGCAACGACCACCAACAATAGCAGTTTTTTATCCCCTTTTGTCGTATATCCACCACCTCCATTCGAGCCGGACCGTTTTTTGCCAGATTATAACGCCAATTGGGGTTTAATCAGTCGAAATGGTACAAGAAACAATACCAATTGGACGTCATCGAATGCTCTTATACCCAATATAAACAGCACTACGTCAAATGGAACAGGCATTGGGTCACCAAATGGTACCTCAACAATTATGGACTCTTTTCTACCTGATTATGACTCGACCCTCTATTCACTCTGGAGCGCTCCTGGAGGCAGTAGTGTGATGGGTTACGAGACAGACACTGAAGCAGCTCCAAGTCAACAACAACCGGTCCAACCGCCACTATATTTGGTGTCCGATGATGAGTTAAAGATGGATTCTTCTTATCCTCAATTGCCTGAATTTAATCAGGATTTGGATTCGTATTTAAATGATACAATTGAATCAGGTGGACCATCACCTACGACGCCACTTGGTACGTCTATTGCAAATAGTGGGATAAAAATGGACCAGTTAGTGACAACAGACAGGAGACTGAACAGTCGGGAGTCACAGCTAGAGATGTTGCTAGCACCTACAACTACAGCAGAATCTCTTGTGAAGAGAGAGAGAGCTACATTAGGACTGGAAAGTTGGACTGGACGCTCGACAAATAGATTTCGTGGAGGGCACAATAAGGCGTACACTTTAGCAAATACCACTGACACTATGGTTGAAGCAGTCTCGAGCGGGATTACAAATTCTTTACGGACTATATCTAGGAATTCAACGATGGAAACAAAACAACGAGTGACAGTGATGCCGTCTTTGGCCTCGTATCAGAGTGGACCGATGTCAAACTCATCGAAAAGTCAGATGGAAGGAAGTTCAATTGGGACTGTAACTTTAACAACAATAGTCACGTCACCATCTTCAAGCACTTCTGATGTGAAAAATGGAAAGCGTCCAAGAAGTCGACAGTGTGAATTTCCAGGCTGCCAGAACCGAGCACGGTCGCATCAAAAATGCAAGAAACATGGAGGTGCGCATCAGTGTGTATTTGAAGGATGCACGAAAAACAGTCAGAGCCGCGGGTTGTGCATCGCGCACGGCGGTGGCTCTCGGTGCAAGAAGGAGGGTTGTGTTCGTGCTGCTCAGTCGAAAGGCTTGTGCAAATCACATGGTGGCGGAGAGTACTGTGCCGTGGACGGATGTAACAAGAAAGCTCATTTGAAGCACTTGTGTCGGACACACGGTGGTGGCGTGCGCTGTAAGCTTGAGAAATGTTCGAAGTGGGCACAACGCAAAGGCTGGTGCATGGCACACGCGAAAGAATTTGCAGCGCCATGATGAAGGAGGAGACCCGTTTATTATCTGAAGCGACCTCTTTATCAGTGAGCTATTGCAGAAGTAGCGCGGCACCACACGGGTGTTGTAGCCTGTGAGCTTTTTGCTTGCTAGAAGGAGGCTCGTTTCAGCTGAATTTTTATTGGAGGTGAATGAAGGATCTATTATGGACAGGATATTACAGAGGGCACCCGCTCGACTATCATATAGCGGATTTTGACGTATCGAGTGCGTTTTTCTATTGCCAGTTTCTATGAGCTCACTCGTTCAGCAGTGCTCCAATGTTCAGATTTTTGTGTTGGTTACAGCGGTTCTCTTTGTACATATTCCCGTAACATTCATTAAAAAGAAAAACCCACACATCGGATACTACTAGTAAGTACCGCTCTGATCTTCCTGACATTTTGCTTCATCTCTCTGATGTCTTCGAGCCTTTCGGCCTCCTCTGCTCGCACAATTCCCACTCTGGACCATCGAAGCACAAGATATCTCGTGAGCTATACGACAAGTAACTCAGAATAGTCTTTGGTGTACTGGTGTCAGAGAGGGCGACACCACGCCCGAGCTAGGAGCCAAAAAAGGTGCCGGACTATTTCCAGGACTTGACAGCATCTCGTCGTCGCGGTCAGGATCATCGTCGGTACTACCTGGAGAAAGCGGGGTGGGGTCAAACAAATTGTACAGCTCTGACCACGGCAGCTCGTCCGTCGAAACTACTCGGCGAGCGGGTAGCTCTTCTTGGAACAGCGAGTGGCTCTGGAGCCCTTGCAGATGATTGACGTGTAGCTGCTGCTGCTGCTGCTGCGGTGCTGTTGGCTGATCATCATTTGCTCTGCAAGCTGCTCGATGAGTCGCTGCTGCTGCTGCAATAACAAATCTTGCTGTTCGCGTTGGTGTCGCTGAAGCTGTTGGTTTTGCTCTTCGATCACCAACTGTTGCTGTTGCCAAGTAAGCTGTTGTTGCTTTTGTTGCTGCGGCTGGTTATCATTCTGCAGCATGTCACCACTAGTCATGCTGTCATAACCACGGCAGTGAAAATCTGACGATACACTGTCCACCAGGACGGGAGGAGGACATGCAGCCATGGGAGATGGCGTCGACCCATAATGATTTCTCGCCTTAAACGGCGGTATAGGTGTCATCGGTGACGTGATGTCAACAAAACCTGTAAACGTCTGAGGTGCAGTTGCCCGCATCGCAGCGACAACGCTTGGGCAACGTCCATTTGTCATACCTTCCTTTGAGGGAGAAAAAATCGGGGAATCGCTAGACACTTCTGTAGTCGAAGGTGAGGCTGGAGGCTGACGCATCATAGCACCCATTGTAGGCGCTATTGCGTGGATAACACGCTTTCGCTTTAGGTGTCTATCGTCAGCAATCTCCTGGTTCTCGAAACTCTCTGTATCAGATTTGATTGCAGCATGACTAGCTCTACGGCTCGAGTAGATCGAAAAGCCGTCCGAGCGTAGACACTCAAGGCAGTACATATAAGAGCCCATCGGTTTCATGAAAAGCACTTCTAGCACATGTTGCACATCGCTTCCAGATAGCCCCTGACCACGCGGGGCAGTCCAACCATAATGCCATGCCTTACACTCAGCATTAAACTGAAAAATTGCCGACTGGGATGATGTCTCCATGGCGGCACCACGCAGGATCCCCGGAAAGAGCGGGTTCATTGGGTGATGCTTGTCGCGCACCCACGCCAGCACATCGGCCTTCTCGATCGTGTGTCCAGGTGAAACCTCCGGTCCCGAAACGGTAGGATCAAAAGTACCATCGAGGTTCACAAAACGAGCAAACGCCAGTACGGCCGGGTGGGTCGTTTGGATGGGGCAAATCTTGACACCTCCCGACTCAGTCATACGACTAATTGCCACGTGCACTCGGATTGAATCTCCACAAAACCCTGAGCTCACATGACGTCCATTACGACAGCATGGAAAACAGCGTAAATTCTTCTGTCCTCCTTTCTTATTATTTCGCTGATATCTCGGTCGGAAAAGCTGAAAATTCTTCGTAGGCGCTACAAAAGACGCCCGAACGTTCAATCCGTGTGGGTTTTCACACGAATCATTGCAGCACGGACCAGGAACAGTCTGATACACAAGATTATTGTCATCTTCCGAGTCATCGCCTCGCATTGGCTTTGTATTTCCATCAGACTCGATCCATGTGCCAAAACCTGCTTCAATCTGATACGTCGGTGGTTCCAATAGCAGCGAATCTCGTGCTGCCAGTAATTTGTGTAATTCCACACCATTTTCCATTGTAGATGGATAAATGTGTCGCATTGCGTGTAAATTCGAGTATTTAACCTAAAATACGACCCATTTTGTTAATGTGGCGTACCTCAATTCAAACAAACTAAAAAGCCAGCAATACGTACAATCGACGTATAGGTATATTCACCTGGCGGCGGACGTACGACGCACGTAGACACGTGGTCCACTGTATGTGTGCTCTTGAGAATCATACGCAGCAGACGCTCAAACTCTTCAACGTGACGTGGATCTACGCACATGCGCGTAACCATTACTGTCTAAAATACGATAGTACAGAAAAAGACCATTTAGGGTCAGTGTAATGCTCGGAGTGAACCATCTGTTTTACGTGACACCATCACTTGGTGGGAAAAAAAAGTACGAACTTCCTCGTCGTCCTTGATGTTAGTAGATTGCAGCACTTCCTTCAACATGCGGAAGGACAGAAACGTGCGTGTGAGCTCTGCATCAATCTTGGCCTCTTGGTCCTCCATAGCTTTGTACAAGTCGATGTCTCCCTCTCTCTCTCTGTCTGTCTGTCTGTCTCCCTCGCTCTCTGTCTCTGTCTCTCTTGCCGCCTTTGTATTAAAGTGGTAATTGGAGAGACCATCACTCTTGGCAGTAGTACTCCTAATAAATGGTAGAAAAGTCACAAATTTGTCAATTGTAATAAAAGTATATTAAATCTTACAAACATTGCTGAATATTAAAGATAAGATGCGGATATGTCACGTTAGGTACCGTATTAAAATTAATCAGTACACGCTAATTACATAATAATCGCAATTTGTAATATGAGGAGTATCGATTGATTATTAAATCCTGATGCACCGTTGAACAGTTATTATGCAATCATTATCTTGTAAACATTGATCCACTGACCGCATAAATTACATTTATCCATGCGGTCAGTGCGGTGATTTCGGTGGTATCATTACATGTTATGTTATCATTGCCAACTTTGTGAGATGGCAATGGAAATACTGGACAAAACATTGCAGAGTGGATTCGGACAGCACTTTTTTATTAACCAAGAGGCCATCGTAGTGTATCACCATCCTTCTGCCACTCTTCTTGGAGGGCCATACGCAGCGTATCGCACAAGTCCATCGTCGGTAGTGGTGAGACGGAGCGCGTGGCACCAAATTCCACTGGCACCTTTGCTTGACTGGCTCCAGCGACATCTGTATTGTTATGCTGATATGAAGCTGCTGATCTGGTAACAGGCAGTCAGTCGAGTAATATCATGCACAACATGCAGGACCTACTCACCTCATTGGCTTCTTGGGATTCATTTTTTTACGGGAGTTGTTGACTTTAGTTCGAGTCGGGGTACATCCATCATCTCGCACAGGAGAGGCCATTAAAGGCTCTGGACAATCGCAAGACGAAAGCTTTCGAAATTCCAGCAGCTGGGCAATAGAGTACTGGCATTTTTCGCGAGCTTTATCTGTTGTATCCTCATTCAGCAGCCATATTTCTTCTTCGCACGGAACGCCCTTACTCGACGTAGCTGAGCTGGCATCATCTAGCACCTCCTGGAGATCACCAGTAGTAGCAATAGACTTTTCAGTGCACTCTTCTTCTTCAGCAGGATCCGCTGCTACTAACACGAGTCTATCATTCTGGATGTCGTTGTGCTGAATCTGAGGTTGCTCTACGGTGTCCCCTACCATAAGCGTTCCAGCCAAAACATCGGCAAGCGATCCCAGCTCCACTCGCTCAGATCTAGTGCGATCCGGCATCGCCTTCTCCGTATTTTCTTTATCATTCTCCTCTGCCTGTTTGCTCTCGCTCTGAACACACATATTTTCAACCGGTTTGGCTGGCGCAGTCGACTCACTCACAACAAGAGCAGCACTATCATCTTCTTTGTTCTCATTCAGACACAACTCTGCAATTAACCCGTTCTTCTCTTCTTCTTCCAACCCATCCACAGCTTGTACAGCAAGCACCTCCTTTGCAGTCTCCATGCTAGCCTCTTTTCTCACTGTAGCATAGTACTCCTTATAGCACTTTCTACAGTAATAGCAGCCATCATTCTCATCCAGCAGAATACTCCCATTACCCACTCCACACGTCGTACACACGTGCACTAGTTTGTTCTGTATTATTGTCTTCTGTTTCCTCTCAATCTCTTGCCACTTGTCTAGCGCCTTCCTCCTCAACGTCTTCGCACGCTGTACCCCATGATGCAAAGCTCTATGTCCTGCCAAACTATTCCAAAGAAAACATTTTTCCACCAATTGCAGCGCGTATTCCAAATTCTCATTCGCTTCTTGCAACTGTGACAACGCTTGAGATGTCGTGTTTGATTGCGTTGCAATCCATATACAAGCTTCACCGATATTGACAGACAGCACAAACATGCCAGCATAGTCTTGCATAGAGTATGATGCACTTAATGTGGTCTTCCACAATGTCTTGGCGTGCTCATAGAGCCCTTTAGCAGCCAAAATGCGGCCTTCACGTATTGCTCGACGAGTATCCTCCATTGAAAATGAGTCAGCTGTTCTAGTAGAGAGATGGGTTAAAAAAGGGTGTTCTCGTAAAGAGATGTTTATCAGCATATGTGGTCGGGGCACCAAATTTATTAAGCAGTTAAAGAGAACTTATCAGTTAAGGCAGTATCAGTGAAGGCAACATTTTTGTAATGCCAATGTAAAAACAATTTTGAGCGTCAAGATGGTCGCCTTGTACGGCACCAAAGTTGTTCCTTTGGCGTATAAACAACCGTATCCCAACATGTGGCGGGTGTGACGATTGTTGTAACGCAAAAATGTGGTAACCAGTCCACATAATGCTGCTCAAAAAAAGCGATTACTTCTTCTTTAAAGAAGCAAGGTACATTCCCAGTGATTCTTGCACCTTGCTTGCTTGCGCAAAGAGAGTAAAAGCTTCAAGATCTTTTTCACGGATAGCCAGCAGTCGGTCCGCCGTTTCCTGACGCATCAGCAGTTTGGTTCTCACGCGAGCCATATCTGAGTGCCGTCATCAACAAGAAATCAAGTGTCAGCTTCTTCGTATCCCCCATAGAAAGAACTTAACAGAAGCCATTCATACCCGGAATCGCCAACCACTTGGCCATAACAGCCTCCGCACGTGGAAAAACTTCCTCGAGTGCAACGGCTTCATCTACCAGTCCGATAGCTTTTGCCTTGTTTGCATCCACTTGCAGTCCAAGCCCGAGCATCTTTTCAGCCTCCCGGTGACCAATTGTATTGACAAAAGTATCACGGAACCACGTAGGGGCCACAATCCCTAGTTGTGTCTCATTGAGACCAATCATGGGTTTCCCACTCGTCATGACGCGATAGTCACAGCACATGGCAAGTAAACAGCCTCCAGCTGGACTGTGGCCTTCAATTGCCGCAACTGCAGCTAAAGGCGTCGTGTACAGACGCAGGTACAGATCTTGAAGCGACGTCCAGAATTTAGTAAGTTTCGCTGGCTGAAAAGAGTGATGCATTAGAATATTGCTTGAAAGTTGCAGCTGGAAGGCAACAAAGCCAAAGGTTATTATTGGGATACCTCTGGTTGATACATTTCCATGATATCCAGACCAGCAGAAAAGACCTTTTGGTTTGATGATGCCAAGATAAGACCCCTTTGTTTACAAATCAGAAAATTGAATCAGTAAAACGATTCCAGTGTCAAGAGACGAGGATCTTACCGCACGCTCTTGTCGTCTTCAAGCTTCGTAATAGTTGCATCCAATTCTTGAATCAACTAGAAATATGTACCGTACACAATCAAGTTGGAATGATTGCGCAATCCGATGCACCCAATAAATATCTATTCCACTTACTGTTGTGTTAAGTGAGTTGACGGGTGGACGGTTCAAACGCACGATTGCGTACTTGTCCTTCTTCTCCACAAGCACAAGCTGCTCACTTGATGAGGTGAAGGTACGGGACGTTAAAGGGCTTCGACGTGACGCTCGTAGTACTGTGGATCTCATTGTACCACTTAACATTTTTATCGTTATTGATAAGAAGGGGGTTTGTTGTTATGAAGGATCGCGCAATCCGATATCTGAAATTCTGACGTGATGACGAGAATTACGCAACTTCAATTTCACTTCAACTTATCAAATATATATATCGTATTTAATAGAAATGAAGCTATCATTACCGTTCAGAGTTGGTATCAATAGGATTTTGGTGCCACCCATTGCATTTGCCCATTTTCGTCCATAGATTTTCTAAAATGGCTACATCTAACGGCAAAAAAGTTGGCATCTGTGGTGCTACCGGTGCTGTAGGTATCGAGATCATTTGCGTGCTAGCTGCTCGCAATTTTCCTGTCCAAGAGATCGTACTCTTTGCATCATCACGCTCTGCTGGCAAAAAGGTGTCGACACCTTTTGGCGAAGTGACCATCTCGCTTTTTTCGGTGGAGAAAGCAGCTAAGCTGGATTACGTGTTTTTGGCCGTATCGGGTGAATTTTCACTGCAATATGCCAAGGAATTGGCTGCCATGCCAAATGGTCCCGTAATCATTGACAACTCCTCGGCCTTTCGTCGTGATCCCAAGATTCCGCTCGTGATCCCGGAGATTAATGGCCACGTGCTTAAGTCAAAAGACGGCAAGCCGCAGCCCAAACTCATTGCCAATCCTAATTGCACCACGGCTATCGCTGCCATGGCTCTCTGGCCACTTCACTGCGAGTTTGGTATTAAGAAACTTATAGTTTCCACCTACCAGGCTGCCAGTGGTGCCGGTGCCGCTGGAATGCAGGAACTGAGCGATGGCGCCAAGGCCTTTTTGGCCAACGAACCCGTCACATACAAGGTCTTTTCGTACCCGCTTCCCTTTAATCTCATCCCGCACATTGACAAGTTCCAGGAAAATGGCTACACGAAAGAGGAGATGAAAGTTGCGTGGGAGACACGCAAGATCTTCGATGAACCCAGCCTTGCTGTGAGCTGCACTGCCGCTCGTATCCCCATCATGCGTGCGCACTCGGAGGCGCTCACCATTGAAACGGTTAGGCCTGTGAACCTTGCCCTTGCCCGTGAAATGTTGGCCAAGGCGGATGGTGTGGATCTCGTTGATGTACCGGAAGAGCTTTTGTACCCCATGCCTAAGAACGCTACGAAAAAGTTCAACATTGAAGCTGGTCGGCTGCGTAAGAGCTTGGTCTTCGGTGACCACGGCCTCGAGTTGTTTGTGTGTGGCGACCAGCTTCTGCGCGGTGCGGCACTGAATGCCGTACTAATCGCCGAGTTCCTCGAGAACCCACGCGCAACCCCGCAATTTTCCAAGAAGCCGACTACATGCACACTTTCGAAAAACCAACAACAGACTCTGATTGGCCTCACGGCGGGTGTAGCTGTAAGCGTTGCCTCTTTGCTGGCATTTAGTCATTTTAAGAAGAACTAAGTTGATTGAAGACACTTCGTAATCCATTTCTCTTCTACTTCTTTTGAAGTATGACCTATTTGTATAATCCTTATGCTTGCTGTTATGGTTTGAAGTTTTCATTAGTGCAATCTTACTAGTACTAAAGCTACGGCCGACATGGTCGCACTTAATTCCATGCACCGCTCAGATTACCCATCTGCTGTCGTTTGACGACGAACTAGAAAGAAATATGCAAGCATGCTTCCTGCAAGAACCGCTATAGACCACTGCCCCAAGCTGTGTTTGTAGTCAGCACCTTTATGGATGCAGCACGAAAATTCAAGTATACGCAGATAAATGTGCATCAATACTGTAAACACAACACAAGAACGGAAGCCATTTTTTAGGCTGACAATATCAAGAATCATCTTTTACGACAAGTTCGCCGCCAAGACCGGCATCTTTCCTCTTCAAACGACAAGTTGAGTTCAGCTGGCACATTCAAGTTACCTAAACAAGCAGTCAAACTCATTGAGCTTTCTCCTTTTCAGCTCAATATTACGTTTGCTTGGAAGCGTAGCTTTCCAACAGCTTCATCAACGCCAATGTAGCCATGTCAAACGACTGTCAAAAAATTCGAGAAGGCGCTATCCTGTGAACACTTTACATATGAAGCTGTTCTCATTGCTTTCGATCATTATTATAACACTTTGGAGCTATATATGGGGTTAATGTAGTGTCAATAGTCATCTGTCAGCAAAGTTGTGCGAAGATATCTCCATAGAGTACCAGTACCTGACTGGTCGTGTTTTTGAACCCATTGTCATCATAGCATGCGACATGCAGCTTTTAAGCTTGATGATTTGTCAAAACGATTGACTACATGTCGTTATTATCAACCAATGTCTACTCGCCACTGAGCCTTTTATAGAATTGAATGGCTCAGACGCCCGACCCCTCATTCTCTTTTGTGAGCTAAAAGCCGTAAGAAGAAGAAGAAGACGAAGAAGAAGAAGAAGGAAAAGAGCAATAAATATGGTGGAAGGAGGTGCGTAGTTTCCACTTTTTATTCCAAAATTCATGTAATAAACCTTTTCAATCGATTCGCCACTATTTATTGGGTCTATTCGTGCAATATTCGTCTCCTTAAGATGAAATCTCTCACTGATCATCTCTTATTTATAATATTATTTTTTACAGGAAGATCTACTTATGTACCACCGCATATGCGCGGTGGAGGAGGAGGGAATGAAGATCGTCGTGGAGGAGGTGACGATCGTCGTGGAGAACGAGGTTTTGAAGAACGTCGAGGAGGAGGAGGAGGCTTTGACCGTCGTGGCGGCTCTCGTGAGCGTGGATATGCTCCTTGTAGTGGCTCTAGTGAACGTGGTGATGGTCCACCACGTGCTACTAATTCTCGGTGGTCTGGCTTTGAGTCAGACCGTCGTGACGATCGTCGTGGAAATTATGGAGATGATCGTCGTGGTGGTTATAGTGGAGGAGGTAGTGGAGGTGGGGGTTATAGCCGCGGTGGGGGTGGTGTCCGTGTGAATGAAATGGGTTATCACGGTGATGTTCGACCGAATGAACGTCTGGAACACGAACTATTTGGTGATGCAAAATCATCTGGTATTAACTTTGACAAGTATGATGATATCCCAGTTGAAACAAGTGGTGAAAATGTTCCGGACCCGGTCACGGAGTTTTCAGCTGAACAATTGGGTGCTGAAGTTATCCGTAACTTGGAGCTATGCAAGTATGCAAAGCCTACTCCTGTGCAGAAATATTCCATTCCAATTGGTCTTGCTGGTCGGGACATGATGGCTTGTGCTCAGACGGGTTCCGGCAAGACAGGTGGATTTCTGTTTCCGACACTTGCAGCAATGCTGCGTGTAGGAGGCACACCTCCACCTGATGTCGGCCATGGTCGCTCTCGCAAGATTTTTCCTGCTGCTTTGATTCTCTCGCCCACGCGGGAGCTGGCGTCGCAGATTCACGATGAAGCTAAGAAGTTTTGCTATTGCACTGGTATCGCCCCAGTAGTGATTTATGGTGGTGCCGAGGTTGGTCGTCAGCTCCGTGAGCTGGAGCGTGGTTGTGACCTGTTGGTGGCTACCCCTGGTCGTCTTGTTGACTTAATGGAGCGTGGCCGTATTTCGTTGTCTTGTATTCGGTTCCTGATTTTGGATGAGGCCGATCGCATGTTGGATATGGGTTTCGAGCCCCAGATTCGTCGTATTGTTGAGCAGGAGGATATGCCCCGTGAGCGCCAGACGTTCATGTTTAGTGCTACATTTCCACGTGAGATTCAACGCCTTGCATCGGACTTTTTGCGTGAATACATTTTCTTGACGGTCGGCCGTGTGGGTTCCGCCTCGAAGGATGTAAAGCAAACGGTGGAGTATATTGAGCAGTACGACAAGGAGGACTTTCTTGTGCGTTTCTTGAATCAGGTACAGGACGGCCTTATTCTGGTTTTTGTGGAAACAAAGCGTGGCGCTGACTTCCTGGAGGACATGCTTTGCCGCGAAGGGTTCCCAGCCACATCGATCCACGGTGACCGCTCACAGCGTGAACGTGAGCAGGCTCTGGCAAGTTTTAAGTCGGGACGCACGCCCGTTCTGGTAGCTACGGATGTGGCTGCCCGTGGTCTTGATATTGATGGTGTGACGCAAGTTATTAACTTCGACCTGCCGAACAACATTGATGACTACGTTCACCGTATCGGTCGTACAGGTCGTGTGGGCAATATTGGTTACGCACTCTCCATGATGAACGAGAAGAACCGCAACATCGCTCGGGAGATGTACGAACTGATGTCTGAAAACGAGCAGGAAATTCCAGCATTCCTGGATCAAATGGCAAACAGCGGCTTCCGTGGTGGTAGTGGCGGTCGTGGTCGCGGTGGCCGTGGCGGTCGCGGTAGCTCTCGATTCGGTGCGAAAGACTTCCGTAATGAAGAGCGTGGTGGCGGCGGCGGCAGTCGTGGCGGCTATGGTGGTGGTGGCGGTGGCTACGGAGGTGGGGGTGGTGGCGGCTACGGCGGTGGCAGTGGCGGCTACAGTGGCGGCGGCGGCAGTCGTAGTAATGGCGCTCGTGGTGGAGGCTTTAGCGACGACAACAGCGCATGGTAAATTACAGGTGACACGAGATGGCAAGCATTTGAAGATTTGGAGCAAGGAGCGAGCGTGTCTTTCGTAGACGGTCAAAAAGACCCGTAAAGTTTCTCTACTATTCGTCGCGCGGAGAGTCGGAAGAAAGCTTCCTTCGATGTACAAGTAACGTCAGGTCTCCTCCCAAGCCTTGCCTGCTGCTGCCCCTTGTGTGTGGGCGCTGCGAGTCGGGATATTAGGATACTTGATGACCATTTTGCTATCGTGTATTATAAGGCAGCATTTCTTCTTAGAAAATATACCATCTTCCCTCAATCAAGACAACGATCTTCTGCCTTAAGTGAATAGCTATGCTGCCAGCATACTGGAAAATCTCACTACATGTTTCAAAACAGAGACATCAGCTGTGCAATAGCTGTGAGATTAATTAACCAATTCAAGACGTACAAGATGATCAAAGTGCCCCGTGGTATTGTGAATCTCCTATCCGATACGGTAACCCGCCCCAATGCCTCTATGCGGCAGGTAATTGCGTCTGCAGAGGTGGGCGACGACGTGTTTGGTGCAGACCCATCCGTCAAGCGACTCGAAAAGGTGGCAGCTGAGCGTCTTGGGAAGCAGGCAGCGCTCTACGTGCCTTCGTACGTTCACTGACTGTAAGCGGCCGATAGTATTTGGCATGACTGACGTTTGTGATTCAATTAGTGGCACCATGTCGAATCTTATCGCCATCGGTGTGCATTGCCGCCGTGGGGACGAGGTCATTTGTGGCAATCAAGCACACATTTTCCTGTATGAAGGCGGCGGAGCTAATGGTAAAATACGTCACGCTGCTGTTCTACATCGATATTTATGATGCTAATTTGCTGCTATCTCTCTTGTTTGAATCGAAACTCGTAGCATACATGGGGGTGAGCTTACATACAGTACCCAACCAACTGGACGGAACTCTTGATATCAAGGACATCACTGATGCCATTCGAGGCAATGACCCACATTACCCACGCTCAAGACTTGTCGCGATTGAGAATACACAGAATTCATGTGGTGGCCGTGTCTTGCCTCTCTCCTACATTCACGAAGTCGAGCAGTTCTGTACCGAGCACAATCTGCGCCTTCATGTTGACGGTGCACGACTGGCAAACGCAAGCGTGGCGTCGAAGACGTCAATGGACGAATTCGTTAGAGGTGCCGATTCGGTCTCACTCTGTCTGAGTAAAGGGTTGGGTGCTCCCGTCGGCTCCATCCTGGCAGGCTCAGACGAGTTTATTCATTACGCCACGCGACTTCGAAAGTCACTTGGTGGAGGCATGCGGCAGGCCGGCGTCATTGCGTCAGCGGGGCTTTACGCATTGGAGAACCAGTTTGACCGCCTCGCTGAAGATCATATTAATGCGCAGGCCTTTGCTTACGGCATCTCCTCTATTCCGGGTATCGAGATCGACCCCAACGCTGTGGAGACGAACATCGTCTTTTTCAGGTTGACTTTGGATGCCAAGCTGGACGCAACGACGCTGGCACAGAAGCTTGAAGCCGAGAAAGGTTTGCTCGTCGGTGCATATGCAGACGAAAACCGCGTGCGCGCAGTTACCAATCTACACATTTCTAGTCGAGATGTTGACTACGCCGTATCGTCAATCCGCGCGCTGCTCAGCTGAGACCGTGGCGACTGAATGTCGAAGCTGCATGATTGAAATAACGAGTTTTGGGTACCGACACTTGACTAGGTATGTCCTGCCCGTCTACTTGAGGTGAGGCGATGTAAGTTTGTTTAAAGGACAGCGGTGATAGCAAGTTCATAGTAAGAGTAACTACATTTCAAATAGGTTCGATCAAGACAATGGAAAACACTTAACGACAACTCAAACAATCGTAGAAAAAAGCTATTGAAAAAACAAAAACTTTACACCTGAAATACCTCATTGGTCTGTCAATAACATCACCGACGCTTATATCAGGTTCAAATTTCAGTTTTCAGCCCGTGACTTGAAACCTCCCGCACTTTGAAAAGCTCGTCGTCCAGTTCGTACTTCGACGCACGTTCGTACTGATAAGCTTGTTGTCAGCCTCGTCCAATACTGGCTTGTAGTCCCTCCTACTGATCATTGTCGATTCGTTGGCCCTTTGTCGGCACGGATGCTTCACCGTCGTTTCGTTGGCGCTTTCCCAGCACTGGTACTTCACCGTCTTTTCGTTTGAGCGGTCCAAGCAGAAATACTTTACCCTTGACTTTAGATACCCAATCATTGCCCATATTGCTTTGGAGCAACTGTTTCAAAGAACTGGCACGTATCTTGCCTTGGGGAGTTTCAGCCAAAGCATTGAACCACTCGAAAAGAATTTGTTCCGAAAAGTATTGCTTCAGCATATCAAGTAGTGGTTTCATCTTAGTTTTGTATGAATATACTTTTCCGTCGAGCATTGCCATATAAGAAATCAGCGTGTCAAACAATGGGCTGTCGATGCTTGCAATTTCAAACCAAAGAAGCTTGAAGACATCTTCACCACTATACTTATCCTTATGAATCCACCTCATCATTTGATAATCCGCCAACATGTTTGCCGTTTCCTTCACATTCTCCTTGTCTTGCGCCAGAACTAGCTGTCCTGCTAGCTCTCGTTCTGTAAAGTGCTTCGATAACTTATCAAACAACAGTGGAATTGGGAATCCAAGCCCACTTTCTTGGTTCCACTCTTTCACTTCCGTCAATATTTGGGTTACATCCTTCTTGCCAGCAAGTAACATTTTTTCCAAGCGAACCATCATTTCATCACTCCACTCCAACGCCAGAGATTTTTCTAATTCTGTGGCAGCTGCATCAAGTACTTGTCTTTATCTTTGCAGCCTTAATAATACTGGCGCCCTCGTCCAAAATTTTCTCAATCTCTCCAACTCCATCGTTAGTTGCCAATGCAGCACTTATAGGCAAATTGTTCGCGTTCTTGCCAGCTCTAGCACCAGTTGTGAATTCTTCGAGCGCATTTCCGGACGGAGGGGCAAGACCTAATTCCAGGTTCATGTCAACTCCATTACCAGGTGTCAGTTCTTCGACCGTATTTTCGGACGGAGGCGCAAGACCTAATTTAAGGTTCTTGTCAACTCCATCGCCACTTGTCAATGCAGCACTCTCAGGCAATTTGTTCGCGTTCTTGTCAGCTTTAGCGCCACTTGTCAATGTTTCGGTCGTATGTCCGGCCACGGAAGTGCAAGCTTGAAGTCAAGGTCCATGTCAGCCTTAGCGCCACTTGTCAATGCCTCAAACATTTTTTCGAAAGGAGTCATCCTTTCTTCGTCACCGCCGTAGTTTTCTCCATTATAGATGAGCTTGGCCTCAAGTGTCGTTTTTCTTGCGCGCTTGTCGGTGCATGATCATCTGGGGCGACGATCATCTTTACCATAGTTTGTGGACTATTTGAAGCCAATATCACCACACCGACCGTTGCTAGCACCATGTACCAAAACAGATTCTTAACTTTGTAGATCGTGCACGCCATTCTCAATAGCAGTGAAGAGCTGGAAGCAAATAACAAAGTGAGAAGGAACGACTCTTATCGTTCTCTGGAATGAGCGACGATAACAATAAGACCACGGGAAAGCCAGTTGGATAAGTCTAGCTGGATGGAATTGTGCAAGCGAGAGTCCAGCAGAGAAAGTGGTTGGCACGGATTGCGGACGAGCTTCCGGTACAAGTCGTGGACGATCTAAAAATCAATTTTTGCGAGCTTGAATCCCACGTAGCTATTGAGAGTTACAGAAGCATAAAGGCTGGGACTACCAAGGACACTGCACAATAAAGTTGTTCACGATGTACCTACGCCTGGTGTCGACAGAGCACAAGGATAACGCTGCGTCGTCTATGTGATGCTGGGCCGTACTGTGTCCCGGCACCGCAATCTTAGACATGAAGCGGAAATTGTGAATGCTGTGACAACTCATGGATATTGTGAGCTCAACAGCTTTAACTGCTAAATCATTCGAGCTTGTTCTTGTTAAGTGCATGCCGCACTCGGAGACTTTGCCATCCATTCCTCTGTCAATGCACTGCATTGTCAGGCAGGATCAAAACGACACTGCAATTCAATCCTGATGGATTACAACAGATGCGGATCGACACAGACGTTCTTCGCACTGTTTCTGCTGAAGTAGGGAAGACCTGTTCCGCTCTGTTGAACTCCACGACTTCCAGCACGGAGGTAGTTCAAGCCTTCGAGGAAACACCGTCTACGAACTTTATTCATTGATGTGAAGCAACCCGTTCTATTGCTACTGCCATCAAGTACGTGAAAGAAAACTTGTGCATGGCGTAAGCAGTTTCACGAGATCGATTGGTAAATGCAATTGCGAGCCCCGACACGCTCACTCCAAGCAGCACCTACATTGACCGGTGGTTGCGTTCTGACCTTCTGCGAGTTGCCGTCCAGCGGTCTATGTCGTCGCGCTCGTTCCTTGTCTCTCCAAATGGCCAGAAATGCGTCGAAGAACGACGATTTGTTGTCGCACAGATAAAAAACATTTGGAGAATGAGAAACAGCGCTAGACACTGACAGAGAGGCCTCAATTCGAGTGAAGCCAACACAAATCAACAGAACACGCGTGCGCTTGTTCTTCGACAGCGCCGCAACAGCAGCAACATCCTCGAGCTCGCACCCACGGACTTGCACCCACGGACTTGCACTCGACTACTTCCATCCTGATGTCATTGCTCAGAGAGCCGCGTTGACGGTTGGCTATAGCTTTTGATGCTGACGAACCATCTGCTAGAGGAGCTTGCAGCATGCTTCCACTCATCTCGAGGATAAGTTTGACTCCATCAACGCTTTCATGGAGCGGATGGAGAGCAAGGAGAGTGCTCTGTGCGCCACTGAGAAGACTTCGCTTGCAAAGGAGTCGCAAGTGCGCGGTTCGGAGGCTGATCTAATCGAGCACCGTGCGCGTACGCTGATTGAAAGCTACAAGCAGATGCCAGGCTGAGCACCTAAAATACCCCGCTGAGCTGGGTAAGATCAGGAACTACCGAGCTGAGCGTGAAAAGCTGATTTTGGCTACGAGAGGCTGAACTTGTGGCCGCCAAGAAGCTCATCAAGAATTGCAACTTCTACGACCGCAGAGCGTGTGCTGATTTCGTGAAGCAGTTTAAGGTTGACGAAAGAAACGAAGGAGGTGCGTGACGTATCGACTAGCTGAAAATTGTCATTGAGCGTGACATCAAGCGCATGAAGAAGTGGCTTGACTCGAGCCGCAAAGAGCGAAAGGAAACTGAGAACCTGAAGGACAAAGGCAAGGAGATCAACTGGGATGAAGACATGCTGGAGCGCATTTCTGCTCTCAAGAAGATTCAAAAGAAGATCGCTTGCCAGAATGGTTTCGGCCACGAGGTTGGCAACAGCGAAGCTAAGCTGGCTGACGCTGTGCACCTCTCGGAACAGTGGATTGTGGAGTTTCTTAAGTCCACAAAGAACATCTTGGAGATTGAAGTGAAGCTACTGAAGGAACATTGGCGTGACTATTGACGCGGCTGTGACCGAGGAGGATGTGGTAAATTTGAACTTGAAGAAGATGAAGACGGACAAGGCGTACGTGCTTAACATCATCCACTTCATGGACCAGGAAGAGGCCAAAGCAATTCGCAGTACAGGTATGGGTGGCGTGCCTGGTCGCCACAGCACTCGTGGCTGTTTCGCGAACGGCGACGAGCAGCCGACACCAAAAGCCCACACTCTTTCTTCAAAGCCAGCCCGCACCACGTCGCCAAAGTCGGCACGCACTGCGTCGTCGAAGATGGCCCGCAGGATACCGCCGGCCCCGTCAAAGCATGTATCACCGTCCAAGTTTTCACCAACACCACGCCTTTCCCAGCACCGGCATCTAAGCCGCGTCCTGCTCGGGCGACGCTTCGGTCAGAGGAGTTCTAAGTAGACGACTATGAAGGCAGCGATTTGTAAGCGGCTTGATGTTTTCCCTGTGACGTCGGCATCTATGCGAAGATCAAGCTGCTCGCGTATTCTGTTTTATTCCCGTTTCATCCCATGTGCTCTTTCGAAAGATGAACTACTTTTTCTTCTTTAGCCTTGCCAGCTTCTTGTGAATAAATAGTTGAGCTGTGATCGGTCGAAGTTTGTAGTTGTTTCCGCACAAGAATGGTAATCTATTGCCGTCTTCTTTACAGTAATGCTCGTTGATCATATTCTTCTTTAGCACGACTTAAGCGCAAGTGTACATTTCACAAGGTCAAAAGAGATGCAAACGTGTGCATGAGCATTTATTCACTTGACGCCCAAATTACACTGTGGAAAGAGACCGGGAAGACACTTGTCGAGATAGAGAAAGTGGATGCTTGTGCCTTGCTGATATCGTTCATCTTGGGCACAGCTGGTAGTCGTTACCCCAAGGCTAGGCACAGGAAGGAAAGCCGATTCCTCATCCTGTTCGCAAAATAGTTGACAATACCCTCATCCCGCACAAATTGCAAACGCGTTGTTGCAGCTTGACAGCATGGCTGATTGAGTAATTTTAGTTCTTGTTGTGATCAGGGGAGTGAGTGGGCTCGTAGATGATGGCTCCGGGGAAAGCCAAGTGCTTGTTTTTGTTTTGCATCAAGTCTGTAGCAAAGCACCGAGTTAACGAAAGTTGGAATGACAAGTAGATCCGATCGAAAGCAGCGACAAAGGATTGACAATAGGGTGAATGTCGCCATGCTCGTGATTTTGCATAAATATCGGATTCCACACCAGTCCGTGAGTAAGCTCGTCACATCCATATGCCCATAGCGCAGAATAAAGTAGCAGACTAGACGTAGGAAAAAGTGGCTGGAAGAGAAAAGTTGGAAGCAAAGTGGTCAATGAGCCGACCGTAGAATCAACGCCACCTTATCTCGAATCAATCAAACTGCTCACAAGTCGTCTCTAGCTTTCTTCCCTTCAGTCTCCACCCCGAGGATTTTGCCAAAGAAAGTGTCGGAAGACTTGTGTGTGACAATTTTTTGTGTGTAGCCCCCCCCCCCCCCAAAAAAACCCCCCCCCCAAAAAAAAAACCCCAAGGGCGCATTTCAAAATTTTTTCCCCTCTTTTTAAATAAAACCCAAAAAAGGGCGAGTTTTTTTTAAAAAAAAAGGGGAAAAAGGGGGGGGGGTTTGTTCACCAAAGCAGTGTGCTACCCCAAAGGACGGCAATTACTTGAGTGCTAAATAATCCAAAAAATTTTTCTCGTGAGGGCCCCGATTGTCTGCTGTCCATGGGAAAACCGGAAAATGGAGACAACAACGTTTGGTTTTGCAGTACTCAGCAGTTGAAGAAGCGCTGATTGTTCTACTTCCAGGTTAAGATGGGCCCCACGCCCCATGGTTCAAAAGTGTTACTCGTGTTACAAAGAGAAGCTAGTCGCAAATTCTCTGATAACCTCATCGCACTCATTACGGTGACAGGGACCATCTGATCGAAGATCTCCTCGAATATCGTCTGGGCGTTGATTTGCACAACTACGCTGCGAAGCTTGAGCACTGAGAAGAAGCAGCAGCAGCGGACGGTAGATCATCCAAAAGGCTGCGAACGTAAGAACATTCTCAGAGAATTGGTACCAATACGTAACTGGCCACGCCACAGACTTTGGTAAGAAGGTCCTGAAGATCCTTGAAGCTGGTCGCAATGAGCGCCGTGACGATGTGAAAGAGTCTTCGCAGCTGTAGAAGGTACGATGAATCTGGCATTGAGAGCGTCGTGAAGGAGCTGTCCGCAAGCCACAGTTGTTCTAAGGAGAAGGTGGAAAAGCGCGAGGTTTGGATAGAGGTTGAGGATGTGTATAGCGTGTCAAAGCCACAGGAGAAGGATGAGGATATGATGATGACCTCGCAAATCCGTAGTCTGCTCCAACAGTTCCACCTTGTGCTCACCGTTCAGGATGCGCTGCTTCTAGCCCACGCACGATACGCTCCTCTTGGTCGACCACACGATAAGTAAAGTGCTGCAATAGCTTCTGCAGGTCAGCAGCAACGAACAGCCTGTTTCACAAGACGGTTCACCTCAACCTCCTTGCGGTTCAAGTGTTGTACAAGAAGCCCAGCACCCAGTTGCCAGCGTTGTTCATCAGCTCAGTGGTGAGGCGTTTCTTTAGATTCCTCGTCTGCCAAAAGCTTTGTTTCGGTATCGGTCAGCTTGTTGAACTGAATAACCATTTCTTCCTTCAGAGTAGCGTTCTTCACCTTCTCGAAGGTCTTGATGTGCTGGTTCATGCGCTCCAGAAGAGATATGCTTGTTTTCATTCTCAAGCTGCGCAGCTTGGTCGTCAAGCTCCTTTTAGAACTGAACACGGCGACGGTAGACGTCGTTCATGAACTCATCACGCTCGTCCATCTCGGCATCACCACCCTCTTGCGGGATGCACTTATTGCTGTCCTTCACAGCGTGCAGTTCGCTAGCACGAACCTTCATGTCCGCCTCTAGACGAGCAACATACTCGAGCGTGATGATCAGAGCGTTTTACGAGCTTCATCTTGGGTCCTCACAGTGTTCCTTGAACAACTTGCAGTCTGCCTTGCGCTCTTCTGTGAGGGCAGCACGCTTAAATAGCAGCATGCGCTGCGACTTGATTTGGCGAGCGAGCTGATCTGAAGACATCCGTGCGCTTCGTGCCACGCGTAATACGGGCCATGTGTTCATCCCGAATCGCCTCGGTGGTGTTGATGCGCTCATTTTGCACAACACGCCACTCCTTCTCATATGCTTTATCAAGAGCCTGGTGGCGCGAGCGCCGCTGAGCGATTGAGCGTGTACGGGCATTAATTTCCGTCTAGAGTGCCAGCAGTCAGCCTTTACAGCATTGACCTTCTTCTATCGAGCTTCGGCCTCCAGACGCACATACTCGTGCTCCTGCTTGTAGCGAGCATCGTCGTCACAACATAGTTTGTCCTCGCGCTTCATGTTCGCACGGTTGCTGGTCCAGTGCTCACATTCCTTGGCAAGCTTCATCCACTCATCATTGACGATGTCACCTTCCCCCTCCAAAAGCTCAGGCTCTTGAATCTTCACAAAGTCTGCGTGCAAGTCAACGAGCTCGCGCGGTATCTTGTTCTTCTGGTCTTGGAAGATACCATACGAGTGCACAATAAAGTCGTTGGCAATCTCGTTCGATACGACGGAGTTGTGAGCCTCAGACCAGTCAGCACAGTGCTTTGACCACTGAGGCCTCGCTATTACGCACAGACTGATCGCGCACGACATCAAAGAACAGAATGAGAGTGGTGCTAAGCTGCTTCTCGTAGCGCTCTTTTTCGCGCTCATTCTTTGCAAGCTTCGAGAGCCTTGAAACAGAAGGCAGCTTGCTTATGATGGATGTTCTGAGCGGCTTCACGCTTCCTCTGCTCCTCCGCACCGGTAGCCTACGTTGTTTTTGCTTCTTCTGACGGTCGTGCAAGCCGTTCATCTTGGTACGAATCTGGGCCTTCTCCAGCTCCAGGCGTAGACTCTTGATCAGCGTATTGTACTGGTCCGTGTTGTACAGCAAATTTCTTGTCGCTCTTCTTGAACTAATGTAGCTTCTCCGTTGGTAGCGCCAAGAAAACCTCCAGGCAGTCAGCACCATGTAGAAGCGGGTGCAGAATCCAGCCATACAGGAAGTCAGCAGCACCTTCTTGCGGTCATTACGCGTTGTTCGTTTGCCGGAAAGTTCGGCAGAGCCTTTCGGTTCCGAAGATCACCAAGCTTGGCAAACAACCACTCGAAGGCATCCATATTGCGCTCCTCAAGAATCTGGTATTCGTGCATGACCGCACGATCCGAATCAGTCACCGTATAGTTGGCAGCCCTGGCAGCATCTCATATGGCTCGCAGTATGTCTTTAACATGTACGTCTCAGTTTCCGGAGTGCTATCGTTCGATTTGGCAGTACTTTTCACGAGAATGTCAAGCTTGGTCAGGTACTCGAAGCCGGCAGGCGATTCGAGACAGGATTCATGACCGACGCAATGAAATTTGGCGGGGATTCGTTACACGACGTACAGTGAGTGACGCACAGGCACAAGAAAACCCAGGTCCGGGATGAGCTTCGACTCAACATTACACACTGCGTGTGCAGCGACGACAGTTTTGACGACGACCTAGCTTAAAAAGGCGGAAGCAGACCTGCCACTCCGCTGATCATGTCCAACACGAAGTGGCTGGACGGGTCATTGCCCAGCAGACTCGAATCACGAGAGCGACCTGACTCGTCGCGACCGCGAGCCTTAGGATCCTGAAAGTTGCGGTATCCGTCGTTAATCTTTTCAAGTCTTTTGATCCTCAAGTTTCGTGGGATCCAACACTCGCGACTTCTTCTTGTACTGAGCAACGATCACCACAAGGGAAGCGTCCTTAGACACACCAAGCACATCGTAGCTCTCCTGACCAGACAAGGAGCGGTTGACGGGGCCTCGACGTTGCGCAAACACGTCAGCGAGCGTCGTGTTGGCTTTCATCTGTAGGGCCGTGATACAATTACGGTAGCATCACTGCTGCGCGTTGCCGTAGCCGAATGAGGCCAGCACCTGAATCTTGTGGTTCACATACGGGCGGCAGGACAACAGAACGCAATCACGACAATGGTGGCGACTCGGCTTGGGGAAACGTTATGGCATCTTACCGTCCATACACTCGTTGCTGAAGTTATCGGGTACCCAGAGCTTTCCAGAGCGGCGACACATCAGACGGCATACTATCCAATGTACCGCGGCCGTGACTTTCATTCATGCGTCCGTCGCTCTGCGTCCGCAAGGCGAAGGTGAGCAACCGGCTGAGGGCGGTGCTGCGGGACAGGGATGGTACCGACGGCACCCAAGCCGGTTAGTAGACAGCTGAGCTAGCATTGGACGGGACCGTCGTCTGGTCACTTGGTGGCGGGCGAGTAGTAGACTTGGGAGACACAAGCTGCTTGGGCCCACGCTGTCGTGACTTGGGCTACAAGAGGACCGGTGTAGAAGCCGCCTGCTTAACGAAAGGCTTGGGGGATGTCGGCATGGGCTCTGGCTTCTTGGTGGCCGGAGCGAGGTTGGCCGCTGCAGCCGGAGCCGGAGGCGCCTAAAGACAAGGCAGGTACTTGACAAACTGAAGCTGTCGACAACGCGTTAGATAAATGTTATAAACCGATTTGATACGCAACATGAAGAAGTGGAACACGAACGGGAGGCATATAATGAAGGAATGCTGAAAAGTGATGCAGGACTTGAATTACTTACGATCAGCTTCCGCATTGTCATGCGTGTCTTGAGCTCCAAGAAGCACCCGGCACCACGATGAAGTGGTGTGTTGCCTGAATCGCTCGAGATTCATCTACCTTGGTTTTCATGCAATGCGTGGCATGTTGCAGTCATGTTCCTGACGGTCTTGAATGCGTTCTTTATTGCACTGCTCGCGCAGGGTGCAATCTACAGTTTGACGATAGATATGACGAGTTTGGGATTTTGCCGGTCATCTTGATCTCGCTTCCGTTGGTCGTGAATGGATTGTTTCTCCAGAAAGATATTCTTCGCGACTTTGTCGTGAGCTCCAGTATTGTTTGCATTGATGTTACCATACTAGGAGAAGCAGTGATTCACTTAGAAAGCGAGTATGTCTTCTTGTAAGTCGCCGATACAAAATGAGGCAACTCTGGGGGAGTATTACACGGAAGCGCAAACGGTAGTGTTTACATCTAATTCGCTCTATTCCTTTGACAAGCAAGTTCGGCACGGTGCCATTCAGCGTGGGCGATTATAGCACCAGGACATCTGAATCGATCTCTGCATGTCGGGCAAGGACACTCCAAATCAACTTTTTCTTCTGACGACGATCCTAAATCCAGATTCAAAACCATTTCCAAATCCGTACTCACGAGCGTGACGTCAAGAAGAACATTACCGCCCTTAAGATCTCTCCACGCAGCGCTGTCAGAGCATTGCACGCCTCCATTATCGAGATTGTACTTCTACTTCCGCTGATGGGCGGAGACGAGTACGACCAGGCGTTCTCTAGAATTTGCGATGCTTGCGTACAGCTCAAGTACTCCGCCTTTCTTTTTTCTGCTCCGTGTACGCTTTGGTTCTTTTCGCATGGACAATGGCTAATGGCTAATGTATGATGTTTTCAGGTCGAAAGGTTGTTGAATACGCTGTCCGTCTGACGGAGAGTGTTTCGTGTATGCAGGTAGAAAGTTGAGATCAAAAAAGACTGACTACTCTTAGATCACGGGTACGCGGAGAAGCGTTGTCTGTCAACTTAGAGGAGAGTCTAACAACTGGTGTGACGACTGAATTTGTGCAGAGCTTGGCGGTGATCTACGCGCTGCTATGCCAGATCTTTGCTTCGAAGAGGGATTCGGGATATGGCATGGTCTCAATGTTGATTCCTCACCATCAGGAACAACCTCAACATGAACGACCGCGTGACGACATTCGACTACTTTGTATACTCCTGATTCTAGAAGCTTTTTACCCACCAGTTTGTTGCTCTGTTTAATCTCATCAAAGGCCGGTGGTGTAGGAGGTAAGGACTGGTGATCGATCAATGGCTTTGACCCACAATAAAACTGTAAATGTAGCTCTGTCCATTTACTATATAAAGATAAAAGCTAATATGAACCAGTAATGCCGAAAATAAAAGGAATATACCGCAAGATTAGAATTATAACAAAAGACCACTTCATTGAAAAATTAAAATGGGTGCCACAATATAAATTATATACATAGGTGTATACTATACGTATGGCATGTAGCTACAAATACATTTTATTTATGAGCATGTTGTTACTTAGTATCAGTACTTTACATATTATTGACATTAATTCTACTATACTTTACTTTTCGGGTTTGACTATACAAAACATCATTACAAATAATATAACAAATGTACTACGAAAAGAAAGCTATAAAAAGCTCCATTTTATTGTGACAATTTACATTAAGTCGTCCCATCATGCATCACATTTCGGTTAATAACCCCTAACATTTCTGTTTCTAGTTAGCAAATCTCGTTATTTACATTCTAATAATTTCAATAAGATTCAATGTAGGGCCGTAGAAATTTATTTAATTAGACCATGGAATCAGTTTCACTCTACGATTTCCGAATGGATACTACCTGACAGCAAAAAGTAGCAAAAAGTTCCTGCGTACTCTAATTGAGCTACCAACCTGCTTGAGCTGTGTGATCTGCAGCAACAAGTACCTGATCTGATCGTCGTTCTGCTCTTCTAGCAATCTTGAAGGTAAGAACTGACTCTGGTGCAGGAAAATTCGAAACTTTTTCGATGCCCCAAGCACCCGGGGATATCCGGTAGACTGCTCTTCTTCTAGTCGCATGCTGCGCTGCCTCCTGAAAAAGGCCTCTCCCTTTTATCTTCGATCTGTACTACCGAATTCAATTTGAAACCACCTCAACATGATAAACTCATGGGCTATGAACGAGTTAGACGACGGCTATAGAACAAAAAAGTTTCTTGTCCTTGGCAGATTTCTTGATACCACCCACTTCATTCAAAAAGTATTGTCGTCTGAATGAACTCACCCAACCTTTACGTTCAATGAGAAAAACGTACCGTTTCTCTGGCAATAACGTTTTTGTTTCATTAGCCTGCAGCCACTGGTGTAGAATTCTACATGTTCTAAGACTTAAAGTGGTACGTTATACGTCGAAGCCATTGTAACGTCTTTTGAAAAACATTCCACTCGACTGCAGTTATTCGACAACATTGAGCTTGAGTTGAAAAAATCTTCAAATACTTTCGGTTTTTCCACAGCAGTTTATTATCACCCTAACAAACAGGATTCATACAACCATTGAAGCCGTAATGTCGTTAGCAATACTTTTCCTTTGAGGTTTCTGCGCCTCCGTCACTAATGAGCTCCCAGCCACCTCAGCCACATGCAGTTGATGTGTGTTGACTCGCACATACACTAGTTTATCAGCTGAAAAACTTGTCTTTTGACAAATGGGGTGTAGTGCTACACCTGCATCAGAAATGACACGTGTTGAACTAGCCGCACACACAGGCATAACAAAGATATGGCAAGCGATAGCCTGCAACACAGGCCACTTGGCACCATCGGCAAACCAAAATTGTAAGGGGGATTTCTTCCGCTCTTTCAGTGTGCGAAAATCGCGAGTCTCTGCCTTGTTGGTCTTCTGGTTCAAGGCGAATTTCTTGAAATCCATATATTGAGCATACAATGCTTCTTTGTCAGTCTCGGAGAGACAAGTGCCATCGACACGGAGCGAAGACATCAGCTTTTGTTCTGCATTTTCCATCGTGTCCACTGGTAAATTTTCGCCCAGCAGCACGGGGTCTAAAAGGTTGGCCAAAACGTGAGCCGAACCCAAAACGTTCTCCTGGTGATGTCGGACAAGCTGTTGCAAAGTCTCCTTCTCTTCTGATTGCAGTAGTGTACTTGATGCAAACTGCTGCGCAAGCCTCGAGAAAGAAGAATGTACCTCCGAGATGAGCAGTGAAGTCGCATCAGTGCCATCGCCCAATAATTCCAGTAGCCTGTAAATAGGTCGCAGCACGTCTAAGAACTTGCGTAGCTTCACTTCAAATTGTGGATTGCGCAAAATTTTGGCAAGCTGGTTCTGTAAATGCTCAATTTCGGTCGGGTATCGCGACTCATCATAGCTAGCTTCATTTGAACCTGAAAGGAAGAGCTGGTTCAAGACATTGTCAGCATCCAGAAAGGGTTCAGCTTGGAGAATAGCGGTAAAGGCCTCTTTAATACTTAAGCGCCGCCGCGCAGTTACATGCATGACGTTGATGCTGCTCCCGATGGTCTCGCCTAGGTTGATTTTGTTTGCTTGGATCGGCAGGAAAAATTCCAAATCTTTGCACTCCAGTGCAAATTGTTGAAAATCCTGAGTAAATGGCACCGAGATACTACACTCTTTATCTGTTGCATCATTATCTGTAAAAATGTCTTGAACAAGCGACCACAAGGCATCTCGCATACATCCGTAAAAGTACATGGCTGGAAATTGCTTTTCTAGCAGTTCTCGCGTCCGCTGGCTTGCTAGCGATGAACAGGGTATGACGCACCCTGCAACGGGACATGACAACTTCTCGACCACCCGTGCCACATCTCTGACACTCCATTCCACGTCAACTCGTTGCTCTTCACTACATAGAACATTGACAGACTCCAAATACATGGGACACTTTTCCAAACTGGCCATGTAACGCACCACCCAATCTTTCTTCGAGCTTGATGTTGCCACAGCCTCTAACGACAGTGTCACTGGCACCAACCCGGTTTTGAAAAAATCGTCCACTCTTTCTTTCACGCTTTCAAAACAGCGATCCAGTAGCTCCGTCATTATTTTTTCTTGGGTTGGTAGTACAAAATCCCGATTACAAGCTTGGACAGCTTGCAATAAAAATGGAAACTCCATTTTTTCTACAAATAATTTTTCCATTGCTATCGTCGTAAACAAATGCATTGCCACGTTTTTTTCCAATTCTACCAAATTAATTGAATACCCATTATTTATTGCCATATGGTCCCCAGTTTCCATTGCCATATGGTCCCCATTTACCATTGTCATGTCAAAAGCTAATACAGACTGAGTCGAAATCTGATTCTGAAAACTTGGAATAGCCATGGTCTTGTTTCGATTTCCCACATTTTGACGTCGACATGTCTCAGCGAAGTACCACTCTGGCACCTCAGTGGATGGTATCGTTTCCATTAAGCGTAGAAATTGGGGACATTTCATCAAATGGGAACGTGCCTGACCCCATTTTTGACGGTGGTACACTAATTGATTGCAGTGGCGACAGACAGCCGACGGCTGCTTCTGAGGCTCTACGATGGTCGTAAAGAAGGCCCAAGAACGACTTGGAGGACGGCCACGAGGACGTCGAGGTGCGTTTAATAGCGGTGGAGGAAAGGTACGATTGGTCTCCATTACCACGTGGAAACGATTGGTTTGGTTGGTGCTACTATTGTAAACATGTACTAATAAATAGGTCTTTTTGCACAAAAAGGTTATCCGAACTATTATATCCTCGTCTTAAATTTTCTTCGAAAATTCTGATCAATGAAAAATGACTGGTATCTATTTAGTACCAATCAAACGACTAGCTCGAAATAAGTGGATGTATTTAACTTATGATTGTCATAGGTTGTGTCCAAAGTCGCATCCCAGACAGATTGTTTTGTATCGTCTCTAATTTCATTTATTCGCCTTTTTATAAATTACACGAATAAACCCTTCTTGAAACTTTGCACGAGCATCGGCGTGGGAGCGGGATTTGAGTGCAAAGGGCGGATATTTGCGACCGATATGCGCTTTGTGCATTCAAGTGAAACCTACGGACCCGCAAGCTCAAAATAACAGTTGGTAGCTTAGCTTGCACGTATGCGCTGCTTGCCAAACGTTGGACCACACCCGTGGAGTTTTTTTTAAAGTTAAATTTTTCAAATTTTTATCTATTAACAGTTTATTTTGAATCTAAACTTACTCGGAATTGATATAATTATATTATGACTAAGTCCTAATTTTTAAATTAGAATTATTTCGTAAAAATTGTTCATAATTTACTAAATTAGTAATTTTTTGTACAAAAATTAATTCGTACAAAAGAAATAAAAATTATTTAACTCTATAATTAAAGAACCAAAAACGTTACCGATACCAATACCAGCACCAATTAATCCTAAACCACAAAAGACTCAAAGCGCAGCAGTGATGACAAGTGTGAAGCGAGGGGCTTCCATAATGGCAAACTTCAACACGAGATCGATCAACTACGTCGGAAAGTACCATCGGCGTTAAGCCCAGCACCGGCAATAGTATGGTGGTTTCCAATGTTGAATGAACCGCGTCGCCTAGACGTATTCTGCTACGAACCCGATCGAAAAAAATGCACTCAAGAGGCTGCTCAGTCGTGACTATAGTGGTTGAACTGGACGGATGATGATTCTAGTGTATCTTTGACAAGTTTCATCCATTCCTCAGCAAGCTGCATTGATTCAAGTTTCCTGGTACGCCAAAGCTATCTTTGCTAGTGACCCAATCAATTTTACTGTGTACCGCCTCTTCTGCTCGGATCAGAACTCTGAAGAAGTCGCCATCGTTTCGAATAGTCCACGTCTTCATGCAACTGTCTGCTAGACTCCCGTAGGCCTTCAATTTCCAGCGATTGTGCATATGGTAGACGTCCAATCGGCTGAAGCGTATGAAGCGATGCCAGAGGTGAAACATTCACTGACCCTTCACTTGCCGTAAAGGCGAGCAAGGAATCCAACGCTGAGGAACCGACAAGTAGAGATGGTCTGCTCTGTGACTGATGCTGTAGCTGAAGTTCCATGCTCGATAGCTGTTTCGTAAGTTCATTAGCTTTGGTTCTCCATTCAGCTATGTCCGTTTCCCTCCGCTTAAGACTCAAGCGCAACTCTGCTGCTTCTTCATTGGCAATTTGGACACCATTATCAGCCTCCTGAATGAGAAGCTCGCTAATCGCAAGTCGCTTTTGCAATGTAGCAGCGTGGGCTGCTGCACTAGTTTTGACCTGCAGTTTATGCTCGTGGGCTAGCCGATTCGCCTCTTTCTGTACAGCCTCCATTTTCTCTTGGAGATGCGCCTCCTGTCGCCGTAGATCTGCCGCGTGTTTCTCCTCCATTGCACAAAGCTCTGCCTTTAAACTGACGTTTTCCAGCGACAGTATCTGTTCGGATCCTTCGCATGCTGCAAGCTTTTTCATGAGATCAGCGCTCTTCTTTTTCTCATCTTGAACACGAGTCTCAAGCTGGGACTTGGCATTTTGAAGATCGCAGTAGGACGTGCACATCGAAACAGCAATTGTGCCTTTCGAGATGACCGCTCTTTTTGAAGATGTTGAAACGTTGTGCTGCTGATTCATTCGCCAATAGGTCCATTTTCCCCACATTCCGCAAGCAGGCACAAAATGCTCTGCATCGTTTTTAGAGCAGAAGAAGCACTTTCCCGGCTTAGAAGAAGGCAAGACCGAAATCATTTTGTAATCGGAGCATGTGTCAGTGGTTACCATCGTATCTTGGCGTTCTGATGATGAATCTGCCAAAATTGCGGTCCTTTCCAGAACAGAGTTAGGTCCCTGGCATTTGCTAGCCGTAGATGGATTTTGATTCTCACTTGCTTTCTGGAGTTGCATGTTTTCCGTTTTTACTTTTTGCTGCTTCATATTTAGAGCACTTCGCGTGGGTTCTTTCTGTTCCACTCTTTGTGACGAAATTACAGTAGTTTCCGATGCTTGCTTGCCCATTGAATTAATTGCAATCATTGTCGGGACCCGTGCCGACAAAATTTCAGGATCAAATCCAGCCGTGTGCTCGGATACAATCCGCACAAGCAGCGGATATTCCCTTTCCATACCAGCCTGAAGTTGAGGATACAAGAAGCAAGATCGTGTCAGGAAAGACACAAGCTCTTTCCATGCACATACGAACCAGCCAAATACGCCCATGGCAATAACCACGGAAGCCAGCAACAGACCGTATCCCATACTATGAGCCGAGATAATAATCCAGGATGCCGGCATAGCCAGCGACATTACCCACAACAAGAACGCACCAAAAACTGGCACCACCAGCAGCCACCGAAGCCGCCTTGTCATCACCAGAAGAAACACCGTCACACCCGCACAGTGACTAAACCACGCCCAACCAGTGGCCTCATCAACAAATTTTAACGTGTCGGGGAGCGATGTCCAACTACCTAGCGTAAAAGCTCCCCATAGTATCACAGCGACGATAAAAGACGCAGTACTATCGGTATTGGCGGCTAACATTCCACGCAGAGACACAGTATGCAACAAGAGCCATCCCCCATCGTCCTCTCCACCTTGTTGCATAGCTTCACCTCTTGCAGACGTACACGCGACCGCTAAAGTAATACTTTCACGGTGTAAACGTCGACGCAAAGCGAACCGTTCCCGAGAATTGCACTCGGAATAGTAAGCAATAGTGTTGAAGACCCAGACCATGGGCACTAAGAAGAAAATACCCAGTACACTTTCTCCTTGTCTTGGTGAAGGTCGAATCACAAATGTGAGCATAGTATACAATGCAGTCGTCGCCCAACTGCCGTAAAAAGATGACACATAACCCAATGGTGTCACCTTGGGAATTGTATAGAATGACAGTCCAAACGTCACAAATAACGCATCCTAGAGACACAATAAGTAATGTCACCATTAAGATATAAATTAAGATATACACAAGCAGTATAATAGATGAGGTACCCATTGACAAAGACAGGTTCGTTGCAAAGTATACAGTAACAACGTGGGAAAACCACTAGCTACTGATACCATTAATATTGTCTGTTCCTTCACTTGTACCAGATCCCAGCGAACTAGCAGCCACATTGCAACTTGGAGCATCTACAGTAAACATTTGTTAGAATATTTAATAGTTTATGTTATTATTGTAAAAAAATAACTTACTGCAAGAAAAACTCGAGTTGGGACAGTAAGCAGCAAATTTTCAATAGGAAAATCGAGACCATCGGCCAATGCGAATAAAATTTGAGAGGCTGCAGCTGGCAGCAGCGAGCGCAGCCACAACGCTTTCTTGCGTGGGTGAAGCTCCGCTTGGTATGTCTTCTCTAGCACGAGGTCTTCAAATTGCAGAGTAAACTGGTTAAGCCGCACCGTCGAGTGCAGCCGCTCGCTCTCGTGTGTTCCACTCATGATTTTGTTAATGAATAGTACTAAGTATTGTGGGTCCAGCGATTAAATTTAGTAGTGCCCTGTATATTAATTACCATGGCGCTACTTTTGATCGTATAATAATATACTGCTGAAGTAAAAAATGATCCTTTATGTATTTTTGTGTTTTACAGGAATTTTTGTTTACCATCACACGTTGTGCACCCAGCAAGTAAAATTGCTTATAAATTACATGTTTAAATATCTACAAGACCAAAAAATAAAGCAAAAATGATCAAGTTGTTAAACTTACTCGACAATTCTTCCTGTCGGAATATCTTTAGGTAAGTAAATAAATTACCAAGTCAATTCTAAACAACTTAGCAAGCGTCCTTAGACTTTTATGAACCTGTTCAAAGGCATTTTAACTAAAATAGATAAGGTGACTCTTTAACGACCCTATAAGTGTTGGCTCCTTTATTACACGCAGTGTGTAATGTTGAGTCGAAGCTCATCCCGGACCTGGGTTTTCTTGTGCCGGTGCGTCACTCATCTGTACGTCGTGTAACGAATCCCCGCCAAATTTCATTGCGTCGGTCATGAATCCTGTCTCGAATCGCCTACCGGCTTCGAGTACCTGACCAAGCTTGACATTCTCGTGAAAAGTACTGCCAAATCGAACGATAGCACTCCGGAAACTGAGACGTACATGTTAAAGACATACTGCGAGCCGATATGAGATGCTGCCAGGGCTGCCAACTATACGGTGACTGATTCGGATCGTGCGGTCATGCACGAATACCAGATTCGCGAGGAGCGCAATATGGATGCCTTCGAGTGGTTGTTTGCCAAGCTTGGTGATCTTCGGAACCGAAAGGCTCTGCCGAACTTTCCGGCAAACGAACAACGCGTAATGAACGCAAGAAGGTGCTGCTGACTTCCTGTATGGCTGGATGCTGCACCCGCTTCTACGTGGTGCTGACTGCCTGGAGGTTTTCTTGGCGCTACCAACGGAGAAGCTACATTAGTTCAAGAAGAGTGACAAGATATTTGCTGTACAACACGGACCAGTACAATACGCTGATCAAGAGTCTACGCCTGGAGATGGAGAAGGCCCAGATTCGTACCAAGGTGAACGGCTTGCACGACCGTCAGAAGAAGCAAAAACAACGTAGGCTACCGGTGCGGAGGAGCAGAGGAAGCGTGAAGCCGCTCAGAACATCCATCATAAGCAAGCTGCCTTCTGTTTCAAGGCTCTCGAAGCTTGCAAAGAATGAGCGCGAAAAAGAGCGCTACGAGAAGCAGCTTAGCACCACTCTCATTCTGTTCTTTGATGTCGTGCGCGATCAGTCAGTGCGTAATAGCGAGGCCTCAGTGGTCAAAGCACTGTGCTGACTGGTCTGAGGCTCACAACTCCTTCGTATCGAACGAGATTGCCAACGACTTTATTGTGCACTCGTATGGTATCTTCCAAGACCAGAAGAACAAGTTACCGCGCGAGCTCGTTAACTTGCACGCAGACTTTGTGAAAATTCAGGAGCCTGAGCTTTTGGAGGAGGAAGGTGACATCGTCGATGATGAGTGGATGAAGCTTGCCATGGAATGTGAGCACTGGACCAGCAACCGTGCGAACATGAAGCGCGAGGACAAACTATGTTGTGACGACGATGCTCGCTACAAGCAGGAGCACGAGTATGTGCGTCTGGAGGCCGAAGCTCGACAGAAGAATGCCAATGCTGTAAAGGCTGACTGCTGGCACTCTAGACGGAAATTAATGCCCGTACACGCTCAATCGCTCAGCGGCGCTCGCGCCACCAGGCTCTTGATAAAGCATATGAGAAGAAGTGGCGTGTTGTGCAAAATGAGCGCATCAACACCACCGAGGCGATTCGGGATGAACACATGGCCCGTATTACGCGGGCACGAAGCGCACGGATGTCTTCAGATCAGCTCGCTCGCCAAATCAAGTCGCAGCCATGCTGCTATTTAAGCGTGCTGCCCTCACAGAAGAGCGCAAGGCAGACTGCAAGTTGTTCAAGGAACACTGTGAGGACCCTAGATGAAGCTAGTATAATGCTCTGATCATCACGGCCGAGTATGTTGCTCGTCTAGAGGCGGACATGAAGGTTCGTGCTAGCGAACTGCACGCTGTGAAGGACAGCAATAAGTGCATCCCGCAAGAGGGTGGTGATGCCGAGATGGACGAGCGTGATGAGTTCATGAACGACGTCTACCGTCGCCGTGTTCAGTTCCAAAAGGAGCTTGACGACCAGGCTGTTCAGCTTGAGAACGAAAACAAGCATATCTCTTCTGGAGCGCATGAACCAGCACATCAAGACCCTCGAGAAGGTGAAGAACGCTACTCTGAAGGAAGAAATGGTTATCCAGTTCAACAAGCTGACCGATACCGAAACAAAGCTTTTGGCAGACGAGGAATCTAAAGAAACGCCTCACCACTGAGCTGATGAACAATGCTGGCAACTGGGTGCTGGGCTTCTTGTACAACACTTGAACCGCAAGGAGGTTGAGGTGAACCGTCTTGTGAAACAGGCTGTTCGTTGCTGCTGACCTGCAGAAGCTATTGCAGCACTTTACTCACCGTGTGATCGACCAGGAGGAGCGTATCGTGCGTGCGCTAGAAGCAGCGCATCCTGAACGGTGAGCACAAGGTGGAACTGCTGGAGCAGACTACGGATTTGCGAGGTCATCATCATATCCTCATCCTTCTCCTGTGGCTTTGAACGCTATACACATCCTCAACCTCTATCCAAACCTCGCGCTTTTCCACCTTCTCCTTAGAGCAACTGTGGCTTGCGGATAGCTCCTTCACGACGCTCTCAATGCCAGATTCATCGTCCTTCTGCAGCTGCGAAGACTCTTTCACATCGTCACGGCGCTCATTGCGACCAGCTTCAAGGATCTTCAGGACCTTCTTACCAAAGTCTGTGGCGTGGCCAGTAACGTATTGGTACCGATTCTCTGAGAATGTTTTTAAGCTCGCAGACTTTTGGATGATCTACCGTCCGCTGCTGCTGCTTCTTCTCAGTGCTCAAGCTTCGCAGCGTAGTTATGCAAATCAACGCCCAGACGATATTCGAGGAGATCTTCGATCAGATGGTCCCTGTCACCGTAATGAGTGCGATGAGGTTATCAGAGAATTTGCGACTAGCTTCTCTTTATAACACGAGTAACACTTTTGAGCCATGGGGCGTGGGGCCCATCTTAACCTGGAAGTAGAACAATCAGCAGCTTCATGTCAACTGCTGAGTACTGCAAGACCAAACGATTGCTTGTCTCCATTATCCGATTGTCCCATGGACAGCAGACAAACTTGGCTTCCCTCGGAGCCATCATCTACGAGCCCACTTACTCCCCTGTTCAAAACAAGAACTAAAATTACTCAATCAGCCATGCTGTCAAGCTGCAGCAACGCGTTCGCAATTTGTGCGGGATGAGGATACTGTCAACTATTCTGCGAACAGGATGAGGAATCGGCTTTCCTTCCTGTGCCTAGCCTTGGGTGATGACTACCAGCTGTGCCCAAGATGAACGATATCAGCAAGGCACGAGCATCCTCTTTCTCTATCTCGACAAGTGTCTTTTCGGTCGCTTTCCACAGTGTAATTTGGGCGTCAAGTGAAGAGATGCTCATGAACACGTTTGCACGTTTACACGTTTGCATCCCTTTGACCATGTGAAATGTACACTTGCGCTTGGGTCGTGCTAAAGAAGAATATGATCAACGAGCATTGCTGTATGGAAGACGGCAATAGATTACCATTCTTGTGCGGAAACAACTACAAACTTCGACCGATCACAGCTCAACTATTTATTCACAAGAAGCTGGCAAGGCTAAAGAAGAAAAAGTAGTTCATCTTTCGAAAGAGCACATGGGATGAAACGGGAATAAAACAGAATACGCGAGCAGCTTGATCTTCGCATAGATGCCGACGTCACAGGAAAACATCAAGCCGCTCATAAATCGCTGACTTCATAGTCGTCAACCTAGAACTCCTCTGACCGAAGCGTCGCCTGAGCAGGACGCGGCTTAGATGCCGGTGCCGAGAAAGGCGTGGTGTTGGTGAAAACTTGGACGGTGATACATGCTTTGACGGGGCCGGCGATATCGTGCGGGCCATCTTCGGCGACGCGGTGCGTGCCGACTTCGGCGACGTGGTGCGGGCTGGCTTTGACAAAGGAGTGTGGGCTTTTGGTGTCGGCTGCTCGTCGCCGTTCGCGAAACAGCCACGAGTGCTGTGGCGACCAGGCACCTGTACTGCGAATTGCTTTGGCCTCTTCCTGGTCCATGAAGTGGATGATGTTAAGCACGCACGCCTTGTCCGTCTTCATCTTCTTCAAGTTCAAGTTTACCACATCCTCCTCGATCACAGCCGCGTCAATAGTCACGCCAATGTTCCTTCAGTAGCTTCACTTCAATCTCCAAGATGTTCTTTGTGAACTTAAGAAACTCCACAATCCACTGTTCCGAGAGGTGCACAGCGTCAGCCAGCTTAGCTTCGCTGTTGCCAACCTCGTGGCCGAAACCAGTCTGGCAAGCGATCTTCTTTTGAATCTTCTTGACAGCAGAAATGCGCTCCAGCATGTCTTCATCCCAGTTGATCTCCTGGCCCTTTATCCTTTAGGTTCTCAGTTTCCTTTCGCTCTTTGCGGCTCGAGTCAAGCCACTTCTTCATGTGCTTGATGTCACGCTCAATGACAATTTTCAGCCAGTCGATACGTCACGCACCTCCTTCGTTTCTTTCGTCAACCTTAAACTGCTTCACGAAATCAGCACACGCTCTGCGGTCGTAGTAGTTGCAATTCTTGATGAGCTTCTTGGCGGCCACAAGTTCAGCCTCTCGTAGCAAAATCAGCTTTTCACGCTCAGATCGGTAGTTCCTGATCTTACCCAGCTCAGCGGGGTATTTTAGGTGCTCAGCCTGGCATCTGCTTGTAGCTTTCGATCAGCGTACGCGCACGTTGCTCGATTAGGTCAGCCTCCGAACCGCGCACTTGCGACTCATTTGCAAGCGAAGTCTTCTCAGTGGCGCACAGAGCACGCTCCTTGCTCTCCATCCGCTCCCATGAAAGCGTTGATTGAGTCAAACATACCCTCGAGATGAGTGAAAGCATGCTGCAAGCTCCTCTAGCAGATGGTTCGTCAGCATCAAAAGCTATAGCCAACCGTCAACGCGGCTCTCTGAGCAATGACATCAGGATGGAAGTAGTCGAGAGCAAGTCCGTGGGTGCGAACTCGAGGATGCTGCTACTGTTGCGGCGCTGTCGAAGGACGAGCGCACGCGTGTTCTGTTGATTTGTGTTGGCTTCACTCGAATGAGGCCTCTCTGTCAGTGTCTAGCGCTGTTTCTCAATCTCCAAATGTTTTTATCTGTGCGACAACACATCGTCGTTCTTCGACGCATTTCTGGCCATTTGGAGAGACAAGGACGAGCGCGACGACATAGACCGCTGGACGGCAACTCGCAGAAGGTCAGAACGCAACCACCGGTCAATGTAGGTGCTGCTTGGAGTGAGCGTGTCGGGGCTCGCAATTGCATTTACCAATCGATCTCGTGAAACTGCTTACGCCATGCACAAGTTTTCTTTCACGTACTTGAAGGCAGTAGCAATAGAACGGGTTGCTTCACATCAATGAATAAAGTTCGTAGAGGGTGTTTCCAACCTCTAGTTCAAATGCTTGAACTACCTCCGTGCTGGAAGTCGTGGAGTTCAACAGAGCGGAACAGGTCTTCCCTACTTCAGCAGAAACAGTGCGAAGAACGTCTGTGTCGATTCGCATCTGTTGTAATCCATCAGGATTGAATTGCAGTGTCGTTTTGATCCTGCCTGATAATGCAGTGCATTGACAGAGGAATGGATGGCAAAGTCTCCGAGTGCGGCATGCACTTAACAAGACAAGCTCGAATGAATTAGCAGTTAAAGCTGTTGAGCTCACAATATCCATGAGTTGTCACAGCATTCACAATTTCCGCTTCATGTCTAAGATTGCGGTGCCGGGACACAGTACGGCCCAGCATCACATAGACGACGCAGCGTTATCCTTGTGCTCTGTCGACACCAGGCGTAGGTACATCGTGAACAACTTTATTGTGCAGTGTCCTTGGTAGTCCCAGCCTTTATGCTCCTGTAACTCTCAATAGCTACGTGTGATTCAAGCTCGTAAAGATTGATTTTTAGATCGTCCACGACTTGTACCAGGAGGTCGTCTGCAATCCGTACCAGGCACTTTCTCTGCTGGACTCTCGCTTGCACAATTCCATCCAGCTAGACTTATCCAACTGGCTTTCCCGTGGTCGTATTGTTATCGTCGCTCATTCCAGACCGATAAGAGTCGTTCCTTCTCACTTTGTTCGCTTCCAGCTCTTCACTGCTATTGAAAATGGCCTGCACGATCTACAAAGTTAAGCATCTGTTCTGGTGCATGGTGCTAGCAACGGTCGGTGTGGTGATATTGGCTTCAAATAGTCCACAGACTATGGTAAAGATGATCGTCGCTTCGCAGCATGCACCGACAAACGCGCAAGAAAAACGACAATTGAGGCCAAGCTCATCGATAACGGAGGAAACTAACGGCGGTGACGAAGAAAGGATGACTCCTTTCGAAAAAATGTTTGAAGCATTGACAAGTGGCGCTATGGCTGACATGGACCTTGACTTCGTGCTTGCACTTCCGTCCGAACATACGCTCGATACATTGACAAGTGGCGCTAAAGCTGACAAGAACGCGAACAACTTGCCTAAGAGTGCTGCATTGACAAGTGGCGATGGAGTTGACAAGAACCTTAAATTAAGTCTTGTCCGAAAATACGGTCGAAGAACTGACACCTGGTAATGGAGTTGACATGAATCTGGAATTAAGTCTTGCCCCTTCGTCCGAAAAGACGATCGCAACATTGACAACTGGCGCTAAAGCTGACAAGAACGCGAACAACTTGCCTAAAAGTGCTGCATTGACAACTAGCGATGGAGTTGGAGAGATTAAGAAAATTTTGGACGAGGGCGCCAGCATTATAGCGGCTGCAATGATAGAGACAGGTACTATTGCAGCTGCCAAAGGATTAGAAAAATCTCTGGCGTTGAAGTGGAGTGATAAAATGATAGTTCGCTTGGAAAAATGTTACTTACTGGCAAGAAGGATGTAACCCAAATATTGTTGGAAGTGAAAAAGTGGAACCAAGAAAGTGGGCTTGGATTCCCAATTCCGCTATTGTTTGATAAGTTATCGAAGCACTTTACAGAACGAGAGCTAGCAATACAGCTAGTTCTGGTTCAAGACAAGAAGAGTGTCAAGGAGAGTGTGAAGGAAACGGCAAACATGTTGGCGGATTATCAAATGATGAAGTGGATTCATAAGTATAAGTATAGTGGTGAAGATGTCTTTAAGCTTCTTTGGTTAGAAATTGCAAGCATCGACAGCCCATTGTTTGACACGCTGATTTCTTATATGGTAATGCACGACGGCAAAGTAAGTTCTTATGATTATAGATATCAACTACCAACTGAAATGCTGAGGAAATACTATGATGACGATCACCTTTTCAAGTTCTTCAATGTTTTTGGCGTTGAACATGCCAGCAAATTTCGTACGTCGCTAAATAAGTTACGAAACAAAGAAAACTTAGTATGGGTATTTGAAGTCAAGGGTAATGTACTTGTGCTTGGACCGCCCAGACGAAAAGACGGTGAAGTACCAGTGCTGGGAAAGCGCCAACGAAACGACGGTGAAGCATCCGTGCCGACAAAGGGCCAACGAATCGATGACGATCAGTAGGAGGGACTACAAGCCAGTATTGGACGAGGCTGACAACAAGCTTATCAGTACGAACGTGCGTCGAAGTACGAACTGGACGACGAGATTTTCAAAGTGCGGGAGGTTTCAAGTCACGGGCTGAAAAGTGAAATTTGAACCTGATACAAGCGTCGGTGATGTTATTGACAGACCAATGAGGTATTTTCAGGTGTAAAGTTTTTGTTTTTCAATAGCTTTTTTTCTACGATTGTTTGAGTTGTCGTTAAGTGTTTTCCATTGTCTTGATCGAACCTATTTGAAATGTAGTTACTCTTTACTATGAACATGTTATCACTGCTGTCCTTTAAACAAACTTACATCGCCTCACCTCAAGTAGACGGGCAGGACATACCTAGTCAAGTGTCAGTACCCAAAGCTCGTTATTTCAATCATGCAGCTTCGACATTCAGTCGCCACGGTCTCAGCTGAGCGGCGCGCGGATTGACGATACGGCGTAGCCAACATCGCGACTAGAAATGTGTAGATTGGTCACTGCGCGCACGCGGTTTTCGTCTGCATATGCACCGACGAGCAAACCTTTCTCGGCTTCAAGCTTCTGTGCCAGCGTCGTTGCGTCCAGCTTGGCATCCAAAGTCAACCTGAAAAAGACGATGTTTGTCTTTACAGCGTTGGGGTCGATCTCGATACCCGGAATAGAGGAGATGACGTAAGCAAAGGCCTGCGCATTAATATGATCTTCAGCGAGGCGGTCAAACTGGTTCTCCAATGCGTAAAGCCCCGCTGACGCAATGACGCCGGCCTGCCGCATGCCTCCACCAAGTGACTTTCGAAGTCGCGTGGCGTAATGAATAAACTCGTCTGAGCCTGCCAGGATGGAGCCGACGGGAGCACCCAACCCTTTACTCAGACAGAGTGAGACCGAATCGGCACCTCTAACGAATTCGTCCATTGATGTCTTCGACGCCACGCTTGCGTTTGCCAGTCGTGCACCGTCAACATGAAGGCGTAGGTTGTGCTCGGTACAAAACTGCTTGACTTCGTGAATATAGGAGAGAGGCAAGACACGACCGCCACACGAATTCTGCGTATTCTCAATCGCGACAAGTCTCGAACGTGGATAATGTGGGTCATTGCTTCGAATGGCATTAGTGATGTCCTTGATATCAAGAGTTCCGTCCAGTTGGTTGGGTAATGTATGTAAGCTCACCCCCATGTATGCTACGAGTTTCGATTCAAACAAGAGAGATAGCAGCAAATTAGCATCATAAATATCGATGTAGAACAGCAGCGTGACGTATTTTACCATTAGCTCCGCCGCCTTCATACAGGAAAAATGTGTGCTTGGTTGCCACAAATGACCTCGTCCCCACGGCGGCAATGCACACCGATGGCGATAAGATTCGACATGGTGCCACTAATTGAATTACAAACGTCATTCATGCCAAATACTATCAGCCGCTTACAGCCAGTGAACGTACGAAGGCACGTAGAGCGCTGCCTGCTTCCCAAGACGCTCAGCTGCCACCTTCGAGTCGCTTGACGGATGGGTCTGCACCAAACACGTCGTCGCCCACCTCTGCAGACGCAATTACCTGCCGCATAGAGGCATTGGGGCGGGTTACCGTATCGGATAGGAGATTCACAATACCACGGGGCACTTTGATCATCTTGTACGTCTTGAATTGGTTAATTAATCTTTCACAGCTATTGCACAGCTAATGTCTCTGTTTTGAAACATGCAGTGAGATATGTTAAAATAAAGATTTGCACCTGGACACGAGAAGGTACGAGAGGCGGCTGGCGACACTGTTCTCCTAGCATGTAGATAGAGTAGACACGGTGTTAGTGCAGCAACAAACCGATTGAGTGGACAGGAAACTCACGGGGTGAGCGCAGCTTGGGGCACGCAAGTGACCGGGCTGAAGGTAAGCGAAAACATAATGTCAGAATCCTTTTTACTACAGTGTTAATG